AGACATTAATGGAAGCATTTCCCACAACATGAAACCAGTGTACTTAAAATATCTGAACATTAAAGTGGCTAAGCGAGGGTTTCAAGACTAGACAAAATACATTATCTGGGCTGCACTATAATTCACTATCTATGTAAGCCAGTGGTCTAAACCTGCACAGAAGAGTCAGGTAATACAGTGCAGATAATAAAATAACACTTGGGAAACAGAAGAAAACATTTCTCTCACTTCAAAATAACAGCAGTACTTTTGCCTACTAAATGACACTACATGCTCAGATGCACAATCATTAAACCTTCTCTAATCAACTTTCACATCTGCTGATAGCTTACACAGAATGAAAAGAAATTTTAATGTAAGTATACAGTGTAGATCAAAATTATATTACATATGTTTATATAATGCAGTAATATAAACTTCTATAATAATTTTCACTTGTTACAATGTGCAAAAGTAATGAATGGGACTACCTTCAAGTTTATTCCTTTGCTCAATTTTATGCAAGCTTTCATCAGTCTGCAGGTAACTAAGATGCAACTGCTCAATCATCATCCATAGTTCTGCCAATCGGCTACAAGAAATAAATTCTGCCATTCCTTGCTATTCAGCAAATCTCCATTCACAGTAAATACATAGTGTGTTTAATCTGAAATTAAATAATTCAATCATAATTTTTAGGAATACAAAATTCCCAGTCACCTCATCAGTTAACAACATAAAGGTAATAAAATGTCAGACTTCTTGTTTTAAAACCTCCAAATTATAAGAACATTTGTTTCAGTCTACTTTATATAGACATGTTCTGAGTTGGTTAGATTTAGGTAGTTATGTTAGTCTGTGCATTAAATAAGGAAATTTACAATCCGAAAGCTATTTATAATTGCCTCTGAACTTCTACCAGACTACATGGCACAACAACCCAGAAGACAGCATCTTCAGACTCACAGCCATGAAAACCTCAAATCCTATATTTACTTGCAATTACTAAACTACTGTTACATATGTCTAGAAAAACTAACCTTTCAATGAATTAGGGATTTATGCCCATGCACAAATACATCTGACACACTGCAGGTAACTGTCAACATATTACAAAATATGCCTAAAATAACAGCTACCATTGAAAAAACAATAACAGAATTAGAATCAAAATTTATTTATATTCTGTAGATCCTTCACAGATGAGTCTAGGATGCAGAAGACCTCATACACATTTTATATAAAGAAACATTTTTCTTACAGCTATTAGCATGATCATATTTTATGAGTAGGTATGTTACATTATAGAGACCAAAGTAATTAATTAAAAATATTATCTGTGGAAGTAGTTACAATCCTTAAGAATTTTCAATTAAAGTAAATTTGTTTACAGAGCAGGATTAATACAAGATTTTGTTTTAATGCTAGGTTTAATGTTTTTATCCACATTTAAACTTTAAATGGCAAACAGAAGAATGTGTCCAATGAACACCATATACAGTATCAAACTTTACTAAACTGAATGTACTAAAATGGGTGAAGTGAGTCTATCTTTCTATACTGGGTGTGCAATTGTAAATAATATAATAATTTTACTTGAAACATGGTATATTTAGTATAGTACTGATAAAAAGTTTGAGACAGAATACTTTTCACACATCTAGGAAGAACTCTTAGAAGCATACGTTCTCCAAATTATTCAATCCCACAAATTATACCAATCACATTATACTTACAAATTATCCTGCTACTTTAAAGTGTTTTTATGTGTGTCATTGTAGGCATTTTATTACAATATCCAGGACAATATCATCCAGATGTAATGCCTGAAGATGTCGGGTAGCATTTTGAAACAAGAGCCGTTTGCAATTTGTGCCTTACATGTGCCACAACACTTCAGTATATGTGCAAATTTAATTACAAAATTATTTTGATAGTAAAACTGGCATGACAGTTAATTTTATTATACAAACCTAAATACCTGTACAATAATAACGAATTGAGAAATTAAACATTCTGCAGAAGCTGCACATTCCAGTACCTTCTTTGAGAGGTGGCATCATAGCTAACCCATTTAAATAGTATTTATACGGTGTTTTTGAAATTTTATGTAAATCAGTTTTTTACATAAATATTGCGGAACCACTATTAACAGCAAAATTATAAAATTTCATTACCCCCTCTCAAGGATATTACTATTCATTCACCCGTAAGTTCACTGGCGGATAGTTGTTATGTTATTTACGTAATGATACTGTGCCAGACAGTGAAGAGGAACGGCATATGGGAAAAATTTTACTCCACGAAAGCATGAAAACCGAGAAATTACAACTAATCACAAGTCACAACCAAAATAAATTTTCGGCATAGATAACCTACGGATCCATAGGTAATACCAACATACACATCGGTAACTCAATGTTAAAAAGTGTAAGGAACGCGGCCTACGACGTCATATATATATTTTGCAGTCGATACGACTTTGAAGGATAGATGAGTCTTATCGAATGAATTGATTCAATTCTATATCGATCTGAAAGGACAGATGGCAGCAAAATATAGAATAGAGTCGAAATATTCGAAACAACATATCACAATATCGAATGATTCTATCCCATTCTGTATCGAGTTCTAAGGTTAGTAGGCAGCACTGTATATATGACATCAGAGGCCACGTATGTTGCCTGCTACGAAGGCCGTTTTATGATTGGTCCAGGAGAAGCAGTGATCTGTAAAGTTTCGTTGGTAGCGCTGTATGTGTTAGTCATCAACAGATATTGTGTCAGAAGAATCGCAAAAGTTTGTTTTTACCGTGCTGTAGTTTGATTTTTTGCAAGATGTAGATTATTCTTCGTTCAGTCTATATTTGTAATTTCTAAAGAGCACATTTGGTGTGACGGATTATTTACTCGCTGCAGCACTGACAACTCCTCATGTTGGTTGTGAACATAGGCGTTTCGTGTTAGAAGAAATATCTTTTAAAGCTTTTACAACGGGAAGAACAAGTGTGTGTTCATTTTCTTATCTAATATGACTTTTTAAGAAGTTGAATTATTTTACTAGAGCCTGCCATGTTACAGCTTGATGATGCTAATATCAGATGAATTTGGTTCAACCACGTTACGTGTAATCTTGGTAATGTATGAAACTATGAGGATCTGAAAAATTTTAAGCAGGGGAACCTTAAAAAATGTCATTTTTCTATTGGTGCATAATAGAAAATAATTTATGTACATTTCATTGAACCTTCTTAGACCTAAGCCATCTTCAGTATAATAGCTTGAATCTTGACTAAACTACTACAGTAACATGCAATATGGAGTCATGTCTGAAACTTAAAATTCACAACACAAAATGTTGAAACATTTTTTTTTTAAATTGAGATGTCAAGAATAAAATGGTGTATAAGAGTGCAGTGTTAAAATTGGTAAACTGGCAATGCAGTAATGAGTGTATCAACTCATGACCACCATTTGTGTCAGCTGTAATTACAGGGTCTAGTGATTCTATATCATAATTGTAGTGGTGCTGAGGTGGTGTCTGTTTTTTCTCATTGTTCTTTAGACGGCTAACATATCTATTAATATCAATAAATGACTAAATAACTGGTATGAGCATATCTTATGGGAAAGTTGTCATGAACCAGGGTAACAGCAGTTCTCTTCCCATAATACCATACTAATTAAATGTAATGTAATTCTCTTTAGCTGTTTGTATTTCAGTTTCTGATTGGACAGTAGACTTGGAACATTGTTCAGCCTTTGTAGTTATTAGTTGAAGTCATGGCAAATCAAAAGCACAGTACACACAGTCCTGAAGATTTGAAGACAGACTCGATTCCTGATGCACCTAGGGAAATCATTAATGATCAAGAAACTGATGCATCTCATACGTTACCTCCCAAAGAGGAGATTATAAATGAAGAAAGGAAAGCAAGCCAAAAAAGTAATAATAAAACATACTTAAAACTGCCAAAAGATCTATCTTTTGTAACAAAGAAGAAATCAAGTCCTAAAAGTTTACCAAAGTCTCCAAAAAGTAAGAAGGAAAAAAAGAAAGCTTCAGGTGTATGTCCAGGTATGAATCTAATACAGCTGCAGGTCAAACCTCTAAATGCTTTAACTCAACATTGGTCCTTATACTAATGCAGTTAAATTTCATGACCATCCTACCATTTCTTGTTTGGTGGTGGTATGTAGTCTCTCTAGCTGACATAGAATCACTAATTCAAGTCTGTGACCTTTATATGTTATGAAGAGAAATCCATGCTAGAAGGAGATTATTAGCTGAAGAATTTATTGCCATGTTGCCCAGGATACAGTTGTTTCTCACTGTGTGGAGGTCCAGGTTCATTCTCTGGCAGACTGTAAGATTGTGGATGAAGTGGTCCTGAAGTAGATTTTTGTCAAAGCAGTTAATTTTTCTCTTTCACTCCTTCCACCAACACTTCATTCTCATCTACTGCCACTTTTGAGATGTACAGTAGGCCTTTAATTCCAGTATATTATCACAAACCTGGTCTGAAGTTAGAGCTTTACTACTGACTTCAAGTGCTTTATATTATATGCACTCTACAGTGTGTTCCTTATTTGGCCCAATTAACATTTTATTTATGTTTTATCTACCTGGTTGCATTTAAGATGTATGCCACAGATTTCTGCATATTGCTTTGCTAATCTGGCAGTTGTTTACAGAAAAACCAAAGTATACTTTGGTCTCCAAAATATCCCCTCCCCCCCACCACTTATTACAGCTTGTTGTTTGCTTGAATATATTTAATACTTATGCATTTAATTTTTTTGTATTTTTTGTTTGATTGATTTGTTCTGAATGAGATCATATTCAGTGGGTGAAGTCAAATAAGTCATACACCTTCCTAAGTCTACATGACAAAACATAACATTAACTCAGGTTAGGATTTTTTTAAACCTAACCGTATGGAAAAGCTAGTCAAGAAATTCCCTGCCCTTCATGGGCTTTGAAGTTCTTTGAAGTTCCATTGCCATGTTCACATGAGTCTGCCACTGGATCCAGGCTGCATCCATACACTCTGTTCTTATAACATCAATTTTAATACTATCCCATCTATGCCTAGGTCTCACAAGTGGTCTCTTTACTTTCTACTTAGGGTGTATGACTAAAATTCTCTCTTGTGCATGCTACATGCCCCACCAACCTTATCCTTCATTTGATTGTCCTAATAATATCTGGTGAAGATAAATTATGAGGCTTCTCATCATGCAGTTTTCTCCATCCTGTTACTTCTCTTTTAGGTCCAGATTTTCTTCTTAGCACTCTTTCTGCAAACACCCTCAATCTGTGTTCTTCCCTTATGGTAAGAAATTAAGTTTTATTTCCATATAGAACAGCAGGTAAAATTATAATTCTATATATTTTACTCTTTAGATACGGATGAGATAAATCCTGAACTGAATGCATCCCCCCATATTTAATGTGCTCTTAACTTATTCATATGAATATTATTTTTATTTCTTGCTATCATTCCCAGATATGTGAACATATGAACACTTTTTAAAGATTTGCTTTTACTGTTTACTTTTAGACCAGCCATCTTAGTAGTGTCTAATAGAGTTCCAGTGCTAATGTTTGTGGTATTTATGTTTATCCCAGTAAATCAACATCACCACCATAGGCCAGAAGCTGATGTGCCCAATTTGATTTTAACTGATCCTTATTTCTTGAACTTTCCTAATACCATATTCAGTTGGGTTTAGTGTTAATTTGATTATGTATTTCAGAACCGTCTACTGTTGTATACCAGATTTCAAATTCTAATGGAATCCGCATAGGACCAGATGTCAATCTGACAATTGTGCAAAATTCTCCCAGTACAAAAACTCAATCAGCTCCTAAGGAAAACAGAACTATAAGAGGTTTGTATATGTCTTAAGCAAATAATACAGTATATTGCTCTAGTACAAAATCCAAATACATCAAAATGTGGTTCATACAACATACTCTAAATTGTTTTCAAACATTTCTTCATTAATGTAACCTTACAAGATGAATTTAATTGGAGGTAGTGTAATAAATACCATTGATGTTGACAGTGGTCAGATGAAACCTGTTGAGAGAGTAGCAGATGTGAAATACTGATTGTTGCAGTAATGAATGACAGTCCCCATGGTTGCAGGTTTACAAGAAAGTAAGCAGCAAGTAACCCGAGAACATATCAGGTTGGTTGCACCCCATGTCGGAGAACATTGGAGAGAAGTTGGTAGAACACTTAATCTCACCGATGGAAGATTGGAGCAGATCGAGCAAGATCATTACAAGGAAGGAATGAGAGAGGTATCTGAGTAATTTTCTGCAAGATGCATGCAGAACGAAATTATTTGTCATTTGGGGAACATTTCCTGGACTTCAGTTTGCAAAATTGCCATGGTATAACTTTGTGTATGTATTCAGCCCACAATTTCATGGTGGTGAGTATGAAGGTGGCTGTTTTCTGGATTTTAGTGCCGTGTAATCTGGTAGAAGTTTACCAGTGTTTCAGAAACATGATCACCCTGATGATGGAGTCAGCAAGTGCCTAAGAAATGTCAGTAAACTTTTACTAGACTGCATGATGCAGCAATCTAGAAGACAGCCATCTTCAAGCTTGCTGCCTCCAGTTCCAGGGACCAGTCAGCAGAGGACAAAGAAATTTGATCACTGCTTCCTGTTTAAGCATCCATCTTTATTTAGTTATTGCAAAGCATGGAGTACCACTACAAGTATTTCTGTTTGTTCTCTAGATTTTTAAATTATTCCCTGTTCCACAGCTTGATGGGGTTGGTAGATTGGATACATATCCCCTTAAAATATAAGTTGTGTAAACATTTCAGCTTAATGACTTTACAAAAAGATTAACAAATAAGAAAACATTATTTTTGTTACCTAGAAGGTATATTGTGACTTTTATTTATACTAGCATATACATAAGTAAATATTTTAAAATAACCAGTCTTAATGGGGGAGTATTGGAAATGCTCACACTTTTTGTTAACCACTGCTTCTTTGTTTCACATGACTGTATGTTGTGTAGAATGAATGCTAGGCAGCATCTGAGCAGTGAGTTAATTACTGTGCATTCATGTGTTTACAGTTGGATTTTTCTTTGTTTATTTGTGTTGAATTGTGTTTGTATAGGCAACTAATATTTTACAGGGAGACTCATTCTTCTGCTAGCCGTAGTAACATTATTGGTACATGTGTGTAGAGGGGAGTAGGGATGACAGTTTATTTTAACTCTCAAATTTCATGGGGCAGAGAATAACTCTAGAGCAGAGGATCTTTATGCAGTAGTTGATAATTACCCATCTGATCAATAGTGTTCTGGGACCCAAAACGTTGGTCACTGAGACACATTTTACTGCAGTTTAATTGCGTAAAATTGGTCTCCAGGTTTCTGTATTAAAATTATCTTTTGCAGGTGGTGTATCAGGTTTTGTTGGAATGGATACGAGTGAATGCAAGTGAGGCAAGGCTTGGAGAGCTTACTAATGCTTTGTGGAAATCAGCTGAATACAGTGCTGTGAAAAAACTGGCAGAATGGGCAAAAGAATCTTCCCTTTTTTAACTAATATCAGATTAAGTGCATAGTAGATTAGGCACTGGAGTATGTTCATTGCTTACTTGATATACCCAGGTTTTAATTATCACGAAACGTTAATACATAAGATGCATGTTGACTTTCTTACAATTATTTTTTATTGTGTTTAGTTCTTCTGTGTTTCAAATATGACTCATTCCTGGATTTAGTGTTAGAAACTATAAGTTAATAATTATTACATGCTGTTTTCATGAAAAATACAAGAGTCTTACATAAAGAAATTTAAGGTTGTGAAATTTCATTGTAACATTCTTGAATTTTTTTTCATGCCCTGAATCAGTTAATTAAGTAAATATATTTTATTGTGTCAGTAATCTGAGATCTGAAAATGTTCAGGATTGTTCACAACAAAACAGTCCATATTTTAAAAAATATGGTCATGGTCAATTTTTGCTTAGAACTAATTGTGTATGTTATGCAGTGTCATTTGGATGAGAGAATGAACAAAGGACTGTGAGAGATGGGAAGCAGTTTCACCAACTTGTGTGCATATTCTAGAGGTCCTCTGTTGCGGCTGTGAATATATCCATTACTCTTACTCCTAAATCTTGACAAACATTTTTGATACATACAATTTCTGACATGTAATGTCAATATTCAAGCATTGCTTCTTTGAAGTATAGGCTTAACATTGTCACCACCTGGTCTCTTTTCTGCAAATGAAAGTAAATCGAGGCTGTGCATATCTCTAATGGTATATCCAAAACTTTCTGACATGTTCAAGCATTCACAGACTTGCTCAGCTTATGAGGCTGATGCAGGCTAGTGGATGAGCTAAAAGACATTTCACTTGTTTAAATTAAACTGTTTATTTACCATGATATTATGATGCTATTTAACATCTAAGCACTCTGTAAGGAATCCAGAATGGATGAATTATTTATGTACATGTTTTGCTTCAAGTTTTCCCAGGGGTAAAAATCAAAATATTCAGATTGGGGGGCCCATGGTGGTCTTAGTCCTATATTGATTTTATGTCCGTCAACACATTCCTTGAGCCCGCATGAAATTTTCTGCATTGTCATTTTGAAAATGTGCATCATTTTTTTCTTCTGCCATTAATTATTTGAAGACAGACTGGAAAATATAATCCACAAACTGCTGAATTAACCCTCATAATAGAATGTGGGACCAGTGATTCTTCTAGTGCTCACATCACACCATAAATCAACTGTTTCACATGAGATTCTGAACAAGAAATATACTTTTTTTAGTGTTCCTCACTATGGTTGGACACAGACACATAGAATGCTCATAGCTAAATAGTCACAAGAGTGGAGATTCATGAAATTGAAATGTGTTGATGTTAACATGGCAGTGAGTTTTGAGACACTGTTTACCTGCATGCCCAATGCTGTGTGGCTCAGCAAATTCTTAGATGTAATGAAGGCCAGATTCAAATGATATGAATGAATGTCATGTTATACAGACTTTCATTTTATTCAAAACTTTATTTATTTTTACATAAGGGGTTTGGGTTTTTTATGTAGTAATAAGATACATATATTAGCATTCTTTTTACACAAAACAGTTCTTTTGGTTTGTCAAATGACCAAAATAAGTATATTTGTTATTATCAATTGATAAATTATGTGCTTAAAACAGACAAGTAGTCACTACTTCCACAATAGCTGTTGTAAATTTGTTCCTCTAAGTACATCACACTTGCCATCAAGAGTTCATTCCATGTTCTGTTTGCAAGTTGACAGATCCAGGTGCTTGCATTTTTTATTGAAGTATTTTGTAAATTATGCAAAGGTACTAACATGAAATTGAGCAGCAGTTGTTAGTTATATGTAAAATATAGTGATTTCTGGTATTAGTTTTCATGGGACTAAGAATAATTATTCAATAAAATATGATAAATACATATTTTAAAAATGGGACTATATGATCTGAACTTTATAAATCTGAAAATGTCCTGACAAAAACACGCTAACTAGGACAAATTGTTATGTTCAGAATTTGGTTTAGATATACCAAATGTTAAGTTTCATCCTTCATTTTGCAATTGCCCTTTATACATTAAGGTAGTGTGCCTGTTGAAAATAAATGGCACACCAAACACTTCCACTTTAGATTTATCAGTTCTGGGTAATTTTTGAAAAATTTGTTGTTAGCAGCCTCAGTGTATAGATTATACATTAAGACAAGTCTGGAACCTACTGGGTTTCAAATCAAACAAGGTACAGAATGTGCAGCACAAATGCCATGAATGTTTAATGAAAGCAAGGTGAATTAAGTTTTTAAGTAGAGTTACGTATAACCATTTATATTCTACATGAAACATTTTGTTTACTTCTGAACATTTTCTCTGAAATATCATCACCACTTGATATAGAAATACAAGTAACATTTCTACAGTTCAGTACTGTGACTGAAGCTGTAAGGCATATATACCAGTGAGATCATTTTCAAAAAGAATACCTCAGAGGAAAATAGCTGTAACTTACTATCAGATAAGTTTTATATCAAATGGCAGTTGCAACATATTCTTTGCATCTTGTACTGTTGATTTCATTGGCAGAACTTAAAATTTCTATGTACTACTAAATATTATTGAGAATTGTATTTTAATATCTACAGAATAGCCTAATTTAAGAGTTGTTTACTTCTGAGGTACAGTGGTTCCAAAATAACTAGATATAGTTTCCACACCTTGTGTTACAAACAGTAATTTAATTATGACAAGAGGAAAAGATGGGTGTGAGCTTGTATGTTCTCACCACTGTCAATTTGTTTCATGCACTGATATTTGAGAACCACCATCCAAGACCACATTACTGCATTACTCTTACATACCCTCCCCCCATTTTGGAGTATTACATAATATTATTGTCTTGAAATTTTAAATATTCACTTGTATATTCTTAATTTTAAGAATTATATTGGTACTTATTTGTTTTATATGCTTGTTAATTCATATTATAAGGGAGCTGTGATAAGATATACTTTTATTCAATTTTTTTTCTAATTAATAATCAGATATTCCTTCTCGCTGTAGTCATCTTATAAAATACAAGTTGTTTCCAACAAATTATGTCCTGAAAATATTATCCATGTTGTTACAATTTATTACAGGTTGTATGGAGTGTTATCTGTGGTCTAAATATCATAATTAAGTCAGTACTGGAACCCTGCACTCTGTGGTTGTTGCTAACATTTGATAAAGAAAGCATGTATAATAACAGACATGTTCAAGATCTGAGCTAGTACTAAACTAGTTGTGATACACTCAACCTGGGCTCCAGAAATACACTTATCACAGGTCAGGTTACTGAGGCTGGTGTACTTTATTATCTTGGTTTAAACATTAAAAAATGAATATACAAATGGTTATAGAATGTTTATTTCTCATTATGAAGCTCAAATATGTGAAATGTGGTGCCAGATAAATTTAACATGTTTGGTTTTTTCCATTGGCTACAGCATGTCAGTTACATCATTTCAAATGCTTTAAACCAGTGGCTAATGTAATTTATTTTAGATGTAGATTATATACTATGTATAACTTGAATTATACACAAACAAGATTTCCGTCTTCTGGGTTGTTGCACTGTGTAGTCTGGTCGATGTTAACCAACGTTTCAGAGGTCATACTGCCTCCGTCATCAGGGCGACCTGATGACGGAGGCAGTATGACCTCTGAAACGTTGGTTAACATCGACCAGACTACACAGTGCAACAACCCAGAAGACGGAAATCTTGTTTGTGTATAATTCAAGTTATACATAGTATATAATCTACATCTAAAATAAATTACATTACTGATTATTTAGCATTTAACATAAAATAATATATATTTTTTTAAAATTTCACGTACCCCCTAAGATGTCTTCTCGTACCCCAGGTTGAATACCACTGCTTTAAACTACAGCATGAACAGTAAGGATGGCCAAATCATGCCTGCATTGAATGAATTTGATGTGAAATTAAATAATATGTGTTAGTTGTGTTCTTCTGGATTGTGATCCCACATAGTTTTGTAGGAATGTATCACCTTCACCTTGAAAGTGAAGGTATGCATATGCCAGCCATCTATATTTTTAAATGGAATGTCCACCAGTAAAGATGACAGAAAAAGCTATTGTATATTCACGTTTTTTGCAGTGCTGCTGAAAAGATTGGTTCACATTTGCGGAATTCCTCTTCCATTTCACTAAGGTCACGGTTAGCATCCAGTACCATCACCTGATAAAAAATAATGTAATACAGGCATGTGTAAATGTTACTCTGTTCTGTAAAGATGATCAAGTTTGAAACTGTTAAGTAACTTGTGTATTAAGTGGATTTTTGAAAGTGTTTTGCAGAAAATCTCAGCATTTAAAAAAATAGACACCAATGGGCTCACATATGTTACTTTGAAGCTAATACAAAGAATGTCAGGAAAAATAGTAAGTGGTAAAATAAGATAATTACAGAGTATGAACTTACTGGAGCCGGACAACAGAACTTTGTCTGATTTAAAAGCCAGTCCTCGTGTAGTTTATGGAGTTTTCTCAAGTATTCGAGTGGTACACAGCTCTCTTCTTCTCGTGCACGTGCTTTCATACGTTCAAATACCACTTCAGGACAAGTGCGCAAGTAAACTAAAGAAAGGAACACATACATAATAAAATTAACAAACTTGGGTATCTTAATTCATGTCTTAATTTTGTTATATATTCAAATTTACCTATAAGATCTCCACCAATATGAAAGTGAGATGTGATCCACTTAAACCACTCATCCAAAACAACATAGTCTGCAGCAGGCATCAATTCTTCTCTAGCCAAATTCTCTACGAAACAATACCTATTGGAAAAGTGCACCATGTAAGAAGTTGACAATGCAATCGAAAGGAATGTGTACAAAAGAGATTTTTAATCCCTTTGTTTATATAATTTGGTATCCAGACACCAGTGACATAAGAACTGTGGTCAGGTGCAAAGAGAAGCAAACTTTTAGTAATGCTATTTTGGGGCACAAATTCCTTTCAGCCTGGAACAGAGGAAATTAATGGTTCAGTAGATCAATTACATTCCTTGGTGCAAACTATTTCTTTGCAGGTTAGTCAATTTCATTTTGACGTTAATTGTGCCCCCGGGTCACACACGTCCATGACTCATTGTGTATGTTTGACCTTTTGAAAGTAAGATTTGTATACACAGTGGATAGTGTGTACAATGGCATCAGCTACATATGGCAAAAAATCTGATGTGGTTAAAACATTAAATGGATGGGAAAATCTTTAACTTCTTTAATTTTCTCTCTCCATCACAATACCTCTCCTGTCATTGTATAGAAATATGGTGTATCATAAATGACATATGACAGAAATGTGTCAATATTTAAATAACTACACAAATAAGTAGGCTCACTATGAAATTAGGATAATATTAAAATGTGATTCAAAAAGTACTTATAGATAGTGATCTGTTACAGCTGCAGACTTCTATTGCAGCAAGTGTTGGTATGTTATGCTTTAATGCCATACATTTGTATTATAAAGTAAATTCATAATGTATACATTCTCTCAGAATTAGATTAAGATTCTTTCACAGTTTTACCTAGCACTGTATATTGACCGTTCCATCATCTTCACAGGATGGGTTGATGTGCGTGTATGCAGATCCAACATTGTTAACTGAACATATGTTTGGAATGTCAATCCCCAGCGTGATGGATTTTCATACATTAAACCCTGGAGAAAATAAAAGAAAATTTAGTGTCTAGTGGGTAGTTAACTGCATAAATGTAATCATCACTTGACATTTTATGAACCAAGAATACAAAATGAAAGCATAGGTATACTGGAACCCAGATTTTTAAGTTCAAGAAGAATCATGCTAAAAGATGTTACATGACATATTGAGTCACATTATAATGGCACCAAGTGTATTTTTCTACTCCTCAGCTGCAATTTTTCATTTGCCATAGACAAACAGCATGATATTTCCTGTGCACCAAAAATAAAATTATGTTTATAAAAGGTAAACATTATAGTAATTTGACAGTAAAAATATACTAACAAGTAAATTGTGGCCTTCGACATTTCTCCACATATCTACAGGTTCAGATAACAAGTCAACGTCAGGCCTTGCAAAATGGTTCAAGAAAGTAGTTTTTCCACTACCAATATTGCCTTCTACAAAAACTGTAAATGGCTTCACTGACACTGCACCAGCCATTACTCTTTTGTTTAACCAATGTGCTGTTGACCTGTTTAATAAACATATAAATTAAAATATTAATTTATAACAACTTACTAAACATAAAATTTGAGTGACCTAAATTAAATATTTCAAGGTACATTCTAAATGTATAGTTTTCCAGAAGTACTTTTGAATATCTCATATAGCTACAATTAGTGGGACTGCTTGGGGATGATGCACTCTCAGTACTTAAAACAATTATAGCAGAATCATCAAGAGGTCATGGTCACCTATTCCCTCAACTAGTCAGTGAAATCAGATGTTACCAACAGGACCATTATAATTTAACCCCATTTTCTAATCAACAAATCCTGAAAACATATAAATCATTTCAACTTAAAAACTGATTAAGAATTTAGACAACTGTTCCATTGTTTTGAGAGTTTCTGCATAAATAAACAATTTATGTACATGTTTCAATTAAAGTACAGAAAAAGTTTACAATCTTTTCGTTGTAAGTGTTGATCAGTTCCTTGCAATATAATTTAGCTCTATATACTTACAACCACAATCACTGAATATTCTAGTCCTGTTGTAATCTATTTACGAAGCACATGCGCCCGAAATCAATAAATTCCGCTAAAAACGCCTAAAATGTTAAACATAATGCCTGTTCAATGCCTCTGTAATCGAGCTAATCGTTTCTGAATATCTTGGTAGCATGTAATATAACCTAACTTATTTCACTAACTTCACATATTTTACGCATTACCTAATCATGTTAAAATTATGTAAGAAAATCCAATTTAATATCATAAAAACCGGCAACAAATATTAATATCAAATTTTAATGATGTATACGAAATTATACACAATTCCACGGGTTATCAACAAACTTCCCTTGTTACCATCATCCCTGAAAAACAGCTGTATAGTAAACATGGCGACAAATGCATGGATGTGGAATGAGAGATGATTGTAAAATGAAATTGGTTGTGGATTAATGTCTTTGGAAAATAATAGGTCGTATATTTTGCTATTAAACGGTCATGTTAATTGTATATATTGTTCGTTTTAATGCTTAGTGTGTGTTATAGGGCATAGATTTAGAGTCGTTATCATAATGGCTCAGTGTAAGTTGACACCCCACGAATTTATACAAAATGCATTTTCTCCTATGGTAGCTGTAATGTGCAGCCAACTGGTGGATCAAACATGTCAGAAGAATAACCTATCCTTTGTCGAAATGATACAGCCATTTTGCAAGCTCAGTACAGAAGGTATGTTTCTAAACCATCGTATAACAAACCTAACCTTAATTGTGGCCATTGTTTACGTTAATTTTACTGTTATTGTTGTAGCTCATTTTCGTGAACCATCTGGAACGTCAGTGGCTGTTCGGAATTTACGTGTTACAATGTTGGATGTTAACTCTCGACCACCACAAGCGACACTTGCCAGGAAGTTACTCAATGAATCTGTCAGTTTGTCAGGAAGTGATAGAAATACCAGTCAACAAATTGGTTTGTCACATTCATAGTACTTCATAGTTATGTGCTTTTTGTTCTGTGTATATGTGGTTAGTGTCATTCAGTTACTATATGATGCTATAGGATTGTAGAAAATGTGCTACTTTACTAATATTTAAATGTAATTTATCAGGTGGTCAGACTGTTGACATTCCAGCCTCAGTCCCTTGGTTTGAAGCCTGGAGAGAGACATTCCTTCAGGTGCAATTTCCTTCAGATCATGAATTTACAAAGCATTATATTGCTTGTATCCTTTGTTACAGAAAGGAATCAATTAATTGAAAATTAAAAAATTCAGATATTACGTAGAATAGAGTAGAATTTATTTACATTCCATAGATCCTTCATAGGCCTAAGCCAATGATGAAGAACAGGTCATAGCAAAAATACAATACTTGTTTCTAGTACAACTATAAATACATAGTTATAACAGCTATTTACAGATTTTTGGAACTACAGTATTAAAAATTCTTCTATTGAGTAGAAGGAGTGAGATAGGAGATACTCTTTTAGTGCTGTCTTAAACATTTTTATATCATGATTAAACTTTTGATAGTAGGTGGAAGATTATTGAATAACTTAATACGCCTTTTTGATATTTACTGGGGTTAGAATTTGGCACACGAAGGTTATATCTGTATCTTGTTCTAATATTGTGGATATCTGTATGTGTTTGAAATTTTTCCATGTTATCCACTACAAATGATAATAGTGAGAGCAAGAATTCACTCAGTAGTGGAAGAATATTAAACTGCTTAAATGATTCCCTACATGAGGCTCTCCTTTTAGTGCCTACCATTAATATAATGACTATCTTTTGAATGTGAAATACTTTTTTGCTGTCTGTTGAATTTCCATGACTGCTGCAACTGTCCTCATAGCAAAACAAGCCAAACTTAGTTTATGGATAATGTATTAAATATGTTTTTCAGTTTAATTTGTTGTCAATTTGTGGCCCAAGAAATTTAGTTGTTTCTATTTCCTCGATTATTTTATCATCATACCCTATATTTAGATTTACACAAGTTCTGTTGTTAGTACAAAATTTCATGAAATTTGTTTTGTCAAAATGTAATGTGAGTTTATTGGCTTAATCCATTTGTTAAATCTAGCATAGTGCCAGGATTGCATTGCTGTGAAGGACATATACTTTTTGAAACTAGGTATCATGGTAGTGGGGATTAGGAGAGGTTCCTTCAAGTTTTTAAATGAGTTTTGAAACTTTTAAGAAGGAGAAAAAGCACTGAAAAGATTATACACATGTTTTTCAGATGTGTTCTTTCTGATTCTATATATGTCATTGGTCTTGATATTAATTTATTACATAGGCAAGTATGTTGTTGTAACCAAAATGAAATTTGCTAGTTAACTTTAATTAAACCCTTGGTCTCCCATAAAGGGGATTCCGATTACAGAGCCTCCATCTGAAAGTTGATTTCTTTCAGCAGGGAGCCAGCAGTTCTGACATACCACTTTGGGAAGCTGAGATTCTGATTTGCAAGATACTTTACTTCATGGGATGTATGGGGCTACTAGCAGATTGACGAGAATAGGGGTGCACAGTAGATCGATTATTAGTCAAGCAGCAAGGGTCAGTTAGGTGCCCACCCCATTCATATTTATCCAATGAATTGCCTTGAAGTTTCATTGAACTCTCCTTATTTAGCCTGTAACCTTATGGCCCATGAATTGATAAGAAAGTGTGAATGTGGCCCTAGCTGGAAAGGTTGAGAACCCATGATGTAATGGGATAAATGAAAATACCTGGTCAGAATTTTGTTGTTTTTATGCCAATCCAGTACAGCTGAAAAGGGAGATAATGCTAAATGGAACTTAAAATTGTTTGTACTGAAGAATAACGTAAATAGTGGATGGCCCCGTATTCAAGTTTAATATTGATTTACAGAAATTTTGAAATTATTTTATTTAATAGGTATACTTTAATTATGTAGGTCATTTTTATATTTTACCATCATTATACATCTTCCCTTAACTCAGGTATTCAGGTATTCTAGTAGTGTCATCTGCAGAAAATAATCCTGTAGAAACTGTACAACACATGGGTCTGCAGCTACAGCAGCTACAAAATATAACACCAGCAAAACTTCCAAAATGGTTTGGCCCGGGTGTTCTACGGTATTATGTCCTGGTGCATGATGCTGTGGATGGTGACAATGATAAAGCTGAAACAACATTTAATGTTCTAAAACAGACATATGGAGATAACAACTGCTACTTCCTTCAAATGAATTCTCGCCCACCTGGACAGAGTGAAGACCAGAACCACCTTCCTGATCCATGGAGCCAGTTCCTAATTCGTCAAGTTGATAACCAAGTATGGATTTAACAACATATGAAGGGCAGTTTTTATGCTTTGATGGGGGTATGAAACCAGGAAGCGTTCCAAGACAAATGTTTATATACCAATGCTAATCATTCCTTATCTGGAGAATTGAGGATTTTATGTAATGTTAAACATAATTATGCTGTTCACCTGGGGCACTGTAATCGAGTAGGTTACAGTTAGATGAACATGTTGTGTGGGTACAGAGAATATATATTTAAAACCTCTTAGAAAATGCTAACTTGGAAATCCTAGAAGGGGTTAGGAGGATAATGTCAGTATCATCCTCAGGGAAATAAGTTATGAGTCTTGAAATTGGTATAGGATTCTGTTCAGTGGGAGCTTTGTTATTGATGTCATTGAACCCTGGTTCAATTACTAGAGAGTTAGAGAATTTATTCATTTTATGGATTGTGGAACCCTTGAATTTGAAATGTTAAAGACAGGGCAGCTTATTTATTGTAAACTAGAGACCTGAAATAGCTAGTCTGAATATTATTGTTCTTTCTCTTTTGAAATGTGTCTGTGTAAGCTAAATGCAAATAGTCCTGGTCTTGTCAGGTGAGATTTTTCCTTCAATATGAGAGTTTGAATGAAACTGGGGTACATGTAACTGCACTTCTAATAGTTTCTTTTATAGGCTGGAACATGACAGTGAATCTGCCTCATATTCTTCATCACAGCAATGTGCCTAGTCATAGGAATATCGTTATGCACGGTCTTATGGGAATGATAAACCAGATTTGTGTGAAGTCCATTGGTTGGACCACATGTATATGGGGAGTGGTATAACATCTTCACATTATAATTTTTAGGAGGCAAATGATCAAGACAGTAGTCCCCGTACCCCTGCTGAGATTGGTGGTGTGACTGGAATGCCAACCCATGTCATCACAGATGGCAGCTGCGATGGTGAAACTTCAGAAGTAAATAATGTGTTGAGGCCAGGAGTTGGTCCAGTGATAATGTCAGCATTAGAAGTGGCACAGGAAGCAGGAGAGAATGCAGCACCTATTACTGTTGAACATCATCCCCTTAGCCCAGATGCTGACCCACAGAATTTTGTTCTTGCCAGTTCAGATAAGGTATGATTTTGTTAAGTGAACTGTGTAGCAAAATTTGTATAAGTAAGTATGTTCTCTGCCACTGATGCATGGCCAAATTACATTTACTTTTATTGACAATGGATTAGTAAATAAGACATCACATCAGAATGATCTACAGTTTCATTTCAACAACATATTTTTTTATACTGGAATATTTATTATTTTCCTGTCTTCCTTCAGGTAAATAAGTACCTTAAAATATGGTATAACTGCTACCTTCCACATCCTTCTGAATCCTTAAGTGATTATCAGCATCCTGTAAGTAAATTAAGAAAAACTTATATGACTGCAGACCAAGCTTTTGGTTCTTGGGTTCAAAAACTGCATGAGATCAATTCATATAGGAGAAATTTCATCAGTCCATCCATCTATTTGGCCACATGTTTTACCTATGATATTACTTAATGGATTTGGTTGGCATTTTATAATAGAGGATACACTGTATGTAACAGAATAAATTTAATTTTGGTTCATGTTGATCTAATATAGCAGGATAATTTTAAGTGAGAAACACTGAAGATGGATATTAAAAATATGCAATTTGAGATTCTCACAGCAGTGATGATGTCTATATTGGTTTTGTGGGTTATAACAGTGTGTGGACTTATAGGTACATACCAAAATTTTTGAGTAACTTTCTAATTCTATCTTCAGTGTTGTTTAAATTTTTTTTTATCAAAGGGAGTTGCTGTGTGTTTCTTATTCTTCGGGCTGTTTTACTGAGAAACTTTAATTATAGTATGTTTATGTTCATAGAACCATGTTCCTAACAATGATGTGATTTCTGCTACGAGTCACATCAATGCCAATGTCTGGGTAGGACAGGGAAATCAGACTTCCACTGCAACACAGCATGGTGCTTACCTTACTACGAGTGATTTGGATCACTTGAGAATGCTTGTTCAGGAATTCTGTGTAAAAGCCTTGTTACCACATGTGGAAAAACAGATTCAGCAACTCAATGATCTGGTAAGTATCATAAAATCTTGCTTTGGTAATGTTGTAAGACAGTAGTTACAATTACTGATGTATGTAACAAAATGCCTAAAAGAGACAATGTTGGGAAAGAAGTATTAAGGTTTTAGGGTAACACTTTTGTAAATATTATTAATAGACCAAATGGGTTTTTCATTAATTTCTTCTGTCCCTACAGGCATGGGCTGCGATATTGCCTTGAAATTACTCTATGTAACCTTTGCATTTGACAAAGGTGTCATCAACCATTAAACAAACAACTGCAATGATTGTGATAATGATAAGTATAATGATGATGTTTTTTTCTTCTTCTTCCAGATATCTAACAAAAAGGGTGTTAGCAGGTCATTTCTTAGTGCTACAAAACGCTGGTTTGGTAGTAATAAGCCTGGTATGCCTGGTTCCAGTACACAAGTTAATGCAGTAATGTGAGTAATATTCCTGTTTTTATGTGTGTGTGCATTTTTATTGTTGTTATTATTAACAATAATGATGATAACAACATGTAAGTGCTAAAATATAATCTTGAAATGTCCCAATTTTCCTTCCATCCTTTAAAATTTATGGTGATATAATCTCTTTTAATCTCATACTAAGTAACATATGCTGTTAATTAAGAAATAAATACAGCTATGCAATGAATCCATTGAAATTTTTCGAAGGGAGATTACCAGATATCAGCATTCAGTTTGAACTGTTCCAGGATCAAAATTTTACAGAAACCCACTAAATAGGTATTATCAGAGGCCAAAATATACCAAAGCTAGGATTAATTATTAGAGATCAAAGTTCTTTTGAAACACACCAAAGGTCAATTACCAGATATTAAGATTCAGTAGAAATCTGTGATACATTACTGAAAAAATTCTGAATTAAAACAGGGCAATGAGAACAATAAATCAAGTGTTCAAACCCAGTTTGGTTCAGATTCATACATGAATTACAATGTAGGATTTGAGGTGTTCATGGTTGTGAGTGTGTAGATGGCTGTCATGGGCTGTTGCGCCATGTAGTCTGGTAGAAGTTTACCAACATTTCAGAAGTACACTGGTAAACTTCTACCAGACTACATGGCGCAACAGCCCAGAAGACAGCCATCTCCCAAGAATTACAAATTACAGGACGTTCACATGATGGTCTGTTTTGACTTAAAAATTGGACTGTGTGCAGATATACGGTGAAATCAAAATCATAACAGCAGATATTATGTTTATGAGGGGAGTAACAGGGTATACTTGGACTGTAACTTGAACTGTAACTTGGAATTTAGACATACTGAAGGAATTAAATATACAGCTAGTTATGAAATTCATTGAAAAGTACATAGCTGACTGGAATGCCCAGCTTAGGAACTCTGCTTCCGATTCTGCATTAACAACCAGATGGACAAAGATCTTTGAGGATATTTTACAATGAGACTGTAGTAGACCACTGGGCTTAAGCTATGGAAGGCTGGTGATAGAAACCTGTGTGAAGGTGAATTACCATAAATCAGTTTTTGTGAGGATGATAACCAGAGATTAGTTTCAGTAGAAACATTTCCATGGGAAATTGCCACAAATCAAGTTTAACTCCTTGAATCTAAGTGATGACTCTATATCCCACCTGCTTTAAGAATCAGGAACTTTTAATGGCAGTTCCCCTTGGTGGACTAGTGGTTAGTGTGCTAGGCATTGGACCCAAGGTTCGCTCGTTCAAACCCAGCTGAGGTTAGTGACTTTTAAGGATGATAAAAATCTATAACACAACTTTCTTTGGAGGGGAAGTAAAGGCGGCTGTCAATTGTCATATAATTATGGCATGTAAAAGAACCTTACAAGCCTTTTCTCACCCATCTCTTTCCTGATTCTCTACTAGATGGCTCTAGCAGACAAATCAGGATTGAGTAGAAATTGTGCTGGGGCAGTGGGCTTGTCACTACTCACATTAGCAGACTTCAAAGACTAGGAAACCTCCCATATGGGAGGAGGCCAAGGCCTGGCTCAGGCTGTAATGCCATTGGATGGATGGAACTTGTAATGGTGAAGTGTTGTGTTTTCTTTGAGGTATGGGCTGAATTATTAAGTATTATCTATTTAATTTTCAGCTTCTAAGGGTTTATTAGAAGTTATCTGTAAACAATTAATGGAGATCAGAGTTGTGTAGAAACTCATCTTAGAGTTATTTTCATATGTTTGTTTTTCTGAAGATGTCACTGTGGCACTAAGGTATATCAATTCAAATCACACATAATTGTGGTTACAGTCTGTGAAATTCCATAAGATAATAATTAGGACTGGTGGCTTAGGAGGATGAAATTACAGGACTGGGTTATATCTTTGAATCTTTAATAGTTTATTACTATTAGGTGGGTTTCTTTTCATCTCCTGTGTATACTTAAACATTATCTAATTTTACCATTTTATTATTTTCTCTAGCTACTCTAGTGATGCTCCTGAACTTCAGCTAAGAAGACTTGGTGACCTGTATTTTATGTTTGGTGACTATTCATTAGCATTCCAAGCTTATCATGCAGCTAAGCGAGACTTTAATGCTGACCAAGCTTGGCTGTACTATGCTGGTGCATTAGAAATGGCAGCATTGTCAGCTTTCATGCGAGGTGAAGTAACCCAGAAAGCTCAGGGATACATGGATGAAGGAATTATCACATACCTCAACTCATGCAAGTAAGTTGCCATTAAGGTACTATTAGAAGTTCAGGTTACTGGAAGCAAGTGATAGTTAAAATACAGTGTTTTAACATTAATATTTGTCATTATTATTGATAAAAGACTAAGCGAATAGGTTTAAATATAATGCAGTCTGATCATCCTGCTTGATTTTGATTTTAAATCATCTTCATATTAGTTATACAGAGAGACTTTTCTGTGTTTTTCTGCCTTTCTTGTTTTCCTTGATGTTTTCTGACACTCTGAATTTTATAATCCTGTGAGCTAATGTGGTTAGAATTGCTGCCTTATATTTAATCATTCTCTGTGGCATCTAGCTCATTGGATATGCTGCACTTCTGAAGACTGTTATCAGCCAGTGTATGTGAATGTGTGCTCATATTTGGTACTTTTGAAAATACAATACTTTCTCATCATACATTCAGAAGTTGCTGGGAGAAATGTGTTTTTTCTAATATACGAATTGTTTACCATCCATTCCTGGCTTGCCTTGAAACCTTGGATTCCTTGTTCTTTTGCCAGTTCTGTTTTCTTTAATAGGAACATTTCAGTTCATATTACACACATGAAATACAGAATCTCACACATTTGGAAATCCTTTTATTCTAACCCACTTTTGTTCATTTGTACTTTATTGGTGACAAATTGAAAAGGAAGTGTGATATTTAATTAAATAAGAATTGATTTTGGATGCGATATTAATTTGTTTGATTCAGGATGCCCCAGTTTGCTACAAGAGCGACACTGCTCAGCACTGAATGTCTGAAAGGCCTCAGCCTTTATGGTGAGGCTGCAAAGCAGTTCATTCGCATGACAAGTGAGGACTCTGACCTTCGAAGTGCTCTCTTATTGGAACAAGCATCATACTGCTTCCTAAAGGCAACAAGACCACATATGATGCGTAAATATGCATTTCACATAGTTCTTGCTGGACACCGTTTCTCCAAGGCCGGACAACGCAGACACTCACTTAGATGCTATAAACAGGCTTATCAGGTAAATAGGCTCTGTCTTCATTCCTCTCTCTTTCCATCTTTTACCCACACACACACATTATACAGAGTGTACCAAAAAGATATGTATGCATTAAAATATGGAATTTTAACTGTGTTATTGATCTCCATGTGTTCTGTTTACAAGGGGAGCCTAGTGTGGTCTACACTTAACAGGTGTCATTGCAGTATCTTTTCCCATGATTCAGGTACACAAAATGATGGGTCAATTGAGTTTTGAGTCACGCAAATTAATTGAATGTGTGTATACATTTTTTTGGTATACCTTTTGTGTGTGTGTGGGTGGGTGTGGGGTCAGGACCAAAGTGCACTTTGCCTATGTTACTAGCTTGCAGGTAGAAGGAAAACAAGTGTGTGTGTTATATAAGCCAAAAACAACTTGAGACAGCGAGCTACAAAATGTTTCTTCTGGGAAATAATATTTATAGTGTGGGCAGTATATGCTTTCTTACCTGCTACCTATACCACCCCTCTGAACTCACCTCTCCTAATGGATGTGTAACACACAGTTTGTCCTGACCACTGTATATTTCCAAATAAAATTTGACCATATTTCTGCTATGTATCTCAGTGGAGCTTGGTCTTTCTTAAGAAGCTGATTCTTGTTCATTTGGCAAAGAAATTTCCTGCCTTTTCTAAAACTCAGAGGAGTGCACCACTGGATCTTATCCTGAACCAATTGAATCCAGTCTACCATGTCCTTAAACCAATTTTTTAATATTCCTGTCAGTATTATCCTGCCACCTTTACCTGGGTCTTCCAAGTTGCATCTTCCTTTCATGTTTTCAACTAACTTTGTTTATGAATTTGTTGTCTTCCCTATTTGTGTTGCATGCACCATCTGTCTCATCCTTTTTGATTTGATCACTCTCTTATTTGGTGAAGATACAAATTTTGAAAACCCCCCCCAGTTATATAACTTTCTCCATCATCTATTTCTTCCCCTCTTAAGATGAAATATTCTCATGACCACTCTGTTCTGAAACATGCACAATCTTCATTTTTTCTGTTTCAAGTGAGAGACCAAGTACTACATTCAAATAAAATAGTATTTAAAATTATAGATTTATGTTTTAGTGTTCAGGTTTTAGATATGAGACAGAAATATCAGGCATTTCCAGTATTTAATCTCCTCTGAAATATGTCATGAATCTAAATTGGATTTGTTTCTGTCATTCCAAATATTTGAACTTTGCCACATTTTCAAAGGATTTATTAGCTACCTTTATATTATGATTTTGTCTTGCTTTCTGGTGATGACACATGAACTTATATTTCCCATTTCTCTGCATTTATTTCTAGGCTGACCTCCACACTAATGTGTAACAGGTTTCTATGTTTTTCTTTATTCTGTCTATGTTTTTATCCAGTACATTAATGTCATCAGGATAGAGCAGAAGCTGGTGTGTTCCAGTCAATTCCAGTCATTCATGTTTATCTTTGACTTCCCAGATGATATATTCTAAAGAAATTTTGAAAAAATATTGTTTGACAGGATGAAGAGGACTGTTTCATGTGTTAATAGTACCCTCACTTAATGTTTGCCCCTAAATTTATCATATAACCTTTTGCTGTCATGGATAGAACAGTTCTGCCACCTAATATACAGAATAGCATGGCATCGGTATTTTGTTTTGTGAAATTCCATGCAAAAAAATAGATATTGGAAGATAATGCTTTAGAAACAAATTTTATTTCATCAGTAAAGAAATGTGCTTTTATTTTCGCACAGATTAAATATGTCATTGGTATCCACATTCTAGCAGGTAAATCTTGGCTGACACAAAAATTATATATTCTTTATTAATAGGAAAGTTAAAATATATAATTTTTGTGCAGGTATATGAGAACAAGAACTGGAGTTTAGCAGAAGATCACATACACTTTACAATTGGTCGCCAGGCTGCAAATTTGAAGCAGATTTCGGAAGCAGCAAAAGCATTTGCTCACCTCCTGACTCCTTCCAGTCGGCAGTCTGCCACTCAGCAAGCAGCATTTCTTCGGGAATTCCTCACAACACAGCAGGTATGTTGGCATGATTTATGTCGGTGTTGTACATTTTATTTGATGTGTGTGCACAAAAGAAAATTGTCTATATTTTCTGTATGTCCCAGCAACTGAATACTGAGGAACGTTCTTTGGGAAATGCGCTTCCTGTTCTTCCACTGCCCTTGGTTGATGGTAGTGCTATCCAAGTGCTGCTAGGATCACTTCCTCCCCTGCCTTTTCAAGATGGGGCCTCAAATGTTATACCTGCAACAGGCATCACATTTTCAGATGTTACTATGGGTGAAACTGACATCAGGTGAGATATTTTTATTATAATTCAATTGCATTATATAATCAAAGTAAAATAAAACCTATGTAATACCACACATTAATATAGACACAGCCATTGGAGTTTCAGCAGAATGGTAAATTATACAATAGGTTTTTTCTCTTTCACACATTTACAGAATTGATTACATTTTTCATATATATATATATATATATCCATATTTTTCTTTTGCCCAGCACAGTATGTTGACTTTCATAACCTTCCACTGCTAGAGAGAGAAGACAGTTTCTACCACCAGTTACATTTATAACTGTTAAGGCCCAAATATTTATTTTCCCCCTCAGGCTCCCTAACCAATACCTGGTACACACCTCTTGCCCCATCCATGCGCACTACATGCCCCAGCCAACTCATTCTTCTTGACTTAATCACCCTGACAATACTGGGGGAGGAGTACAAATTTTTAAGTTTGTCATTATGTAGTTTTCTCCAGACCCCATTGTCTTCTCTCCTAGGCCCAAATATTCCCCTCAACACCCTATTCTGAAACACCTGCAATCTGTGTTCCTCAGAATTAGAGACCATCTTTCACACCCATACAAAACAACAGGCAAAATTGTTGTTTTGTATACTTTAATTTTCAGGTTCTTAGAAATCAGATGGGAAGACAAAATATTTTGAACTGAGAAGTAGCAACTAGTTATTGAAAACTGAGATGTTAGTCATCAAGATACTACTAACAGTGCTTTATAAGTTTATCTTTAACCATACACAACAGGCAGCCTGTGTCCCTGTCGTTTGCTGTTGTTTGTTTAAATTTTGACTGATATAGTAGCCAATTAGAAACATTTATCTTAACACTTTCACTACATAAATAATGGATTTTATTAATGGAAGTACTAAATGTAAAACTTGCTTTTCTACACGTCTGTTGAAAACTTATCCCTGTCAGTTCATTGTAACCCTATTAAATGTGCTGCATATCCTGGCATATATTTGTTACAAGAAATACTCACCAAGCTGTGGAATACACCTCAGGCAGATAGTGTAAGTTTTCAGAGTGAAAGAAATATATCTAGCTCTTTAGGAATCTGAATCAAACTGTTGAGAAAGTATAAATTGATCCTGTTATTTTTATATTTAGAAACATTTGAAATTGAGTTTGTTTACACTGCCTGTGTTTTTGTTATGGATAGAATTCCATTTTTGTGGATAATTAAAATGAATAATTGTTAGCTTCTCAAAAACAATTCTGCCCCCTGCCATTAATTAGTAGGTCATTATCTGCATATATTTTATCAACAGTTGAGGTTAACTGTTGGTGCTGCCTACTTGTAGATATCTACCTGCGAGTTCACTTAATGTTACTACCCAGAAGAACAGCAGCGACATCTTCATTACCATGAAAAACTCAAATCTTGAGTTTAATTATTTTTTACTTGTGTCAGAATATTTTCTCAGATACATTCCGCTTACATATTTCTATGAAAATAAAATGTATACTGAAGCAGAGTGTTCCAGTTACATTTTTTGTTTCACACTAAACATTTTCTTTTTATTAATATCAATTTGATGTGGTATTCTTACAACTTGAGAAATTTTCTGATAAACGCATGAACTCACCCATGTTGATGTATTCTTATGTATAGGTGGTCCAAGTTAGAAGAACTCTTGGTTGCTGAGGCTCAAGGTTTATTACCAATGATCTTCAAACCAACAGTTCAGCTATACTCCAGTACTACAAACAACACAACCAGGCCTACTGGAATTGTGGGAGGTATGACACAGCACTGTGAGTGTATATGATAAGAAAGAATGATTGTCATAACAGTAAGATAATGATGCGAGTTCTATGAAGTGAGTCTTTGTTTTTGTCTTTTTTTCTTGGGCCATCCTGATGGTATATTCTAAGGCAAAGTTTAAATCAGTGGCAATAAGGTATTTCCTTATTTTAGGCCATTCTTAATAGAAGATGAATCTGATAAGTATTTACCTGTACAGACTTTGCTGCAGAATTTGCTTGAACTGAGAAGGGAGAAAATAAATTAAACATATTTCAAAACAAAGTATGGTATTCTTATGACATAAATATCTAGTTTTCAATATTTCTTCCTCTGTTATTTGAGGGTTACACTCTGTGTCATATACACTCCTTGCATGCCCTAAAGGAGCGTTGTTTTAAAGTTTGAGTTCTGTCCATGAAGGTGAATCAGTTGTGTTCTTGGCAAACATAATAAATAATTTTGAATGTTGCAGGTATGAAGTTAATAGGCAATTTAGGATATTGTGTAATGAGGAATTCTAAGTTTTATTGTTAGAGTAATGACAGCATGCAGGGCATGTAGTTCAGATGGAAGAGACAAGGAATGGAAGAAAACCTTGTTCATTAATTTTTGTAATTATAATATTGAAAATCAGTACATATAAATGTAACTACATGTGATATTTATTCTCCATCATATATGCATTAATACTCAGTTTCTTAACCTCTTTCTCAAGTCAGCATTTAGAAGATTAGACTCTGCGTTTATCGTCTATAGTAATAGATACCATAATATAATGAGGTGATTGGGTTGAAATTTATTTGAATGAATGGTTATCTCAGCCCTGTTTGTGGGGCATGCACATGATACTTATATGGTTTGGACTTCAAATTTGTTTTGACACATTGAACTTTGGCATGCCCTGACAAGTTATGTAAATTCATGTTTATCTTTATTGATGAGTTGTGTTACATGTGCATAGTATATTTTACATCTGTGATGTGGGATGTCAAACTGATAGTACTTTTACTAATGCAATGAGCGGGTTACATCATTCTACATCGAGTGCCAGCCTTGGATGTTTGGAAACTTTTTGATGAGACCTCAATCTATTGCAGATAAGGGATTTGGTATTTTTCCTTTGTCATAATTTAAGTTATATTTCATAGATATGTAGTTCTGTCATTAATGTACTCCCTATATAAACAAAGTACCAAAGGTATCCAGGAAAATGTCAAGATAGTACCTTGAAATTCTCCACTACTGCCTCCTCCAAATTCTTATCTCCTCACTCATCTTCCTAACTCGTTTGACACAGAGCAATCTCTGCAGTTGAAACAGCATCAATGAATGACTTAAGAATCAATAAATTAACCTGTTTATCATATACAGTTATCCTCTCATCTCATTCGATAGGATTGTCTTTGTTGCTTGGTAATATGGGCTTAATTCAAATGTAATTCCTATTGATGCAAGCTTTTCATATCAAGCGCCAAAGATATAACCTTGCAGCTGATGTAACACCATTAAATAATAATTGAATATAAATGTGTAATGAACTGTATACAGCCAGTTTCAATCTAGTTTCTTTAATGACCTATCTACATAGCTTCCATTTTGCTTTTCATATGACACTAGACACTCTTGTTCCTGTAAAACATTTCTTATGATTTATGAATCACTGTGCTTATTGATGTTACAGAACCTGTAACTGTCTGTGTGATGCTGCAAAATCCTTTACATATTTCATTACCTCTTCATGATGTTCATCTGTTGTGGAGGTTCAAAAAATCTAGTGAAGTCACATCACAGCTCATAGATAATGAGATGGTGCCAGAAACAGCTGATGGTCCTGTTCTGACACAGCATCTTGAATCTGTTGTGCTCAAACCAGATTGCATTCAGGAAGTATGAACATATTTACCTATACAAGTTGTACATATGTGCTTCACCTCCCTGTCTAACCTCCATTATGAGAACTCAATCCACCCAAATCCCTACCCACATTATTGTCACAGGGGATGATCTCACAGGTTTAATTGAAGAATTTCTTGGTATTACCATGGTAGCTTGGAAAGAATCCTGAAAAGTAATGGCTAAATGGACTCTGGTGAAGTTGTAATTGACTCAGCAAACCAACAGTAAATATAAAATTGCTTTCAAGAATGGACAGAGCCTCAAAGTATGGCAGGGTTCAGTACACTCAAAGTGCAATGTTAATGTTATATTCATACTTGTATTATTACACAGTGTTCTCAGTAATATCTATCACAGTGTAAAGAAATCTGATGCAAAACTTTGAGATTAAAAGAAAAACAGACTGACATTCATTTAATGAAGATTAGGTACAGTATACTTGAGCCAAAAGGTGTTGTGATTTCTGTTGTAATGTGTCATTTCTACTTTTACAGGTGATATTGTGTGTTACTCCCAGATCAGAAGGAGAAATGCAGATCTTGGGGATTGCTTATCAGATGTCCAATTCAGCTGCACAGCAATGTGCAGAGCCTTCTAACATTACACAACACACAATATCAGTTCCAGGAAAGCAAGTGTTTACTCTCAGGAAACCAATACCAAAAGTCAGAGGGTCCCAGGATCTGCATGATAGGAGACTGGAGATCAGTGTTGTTAAATCAGCACCTCTGTTGCAGGTAAATTACATTAGCTTAACATCAAATTTGTTGCATACATTATTTCAGTAAACACACAAATAAATTCTGCCTATCAGGGGCTTAACAAAATAAACATTTTTAATGTGAACATTGAGGGGGTGTTATAGATGTGTTGGCCCTGGCCTCACTTGTACAGTTGGTCATGAGTCACTACTGGCATTGACCAGAATTTTGCAGAACATAGTAAAGGATATGTATAAACTCCCAGAATTAACTGCATAATATGGACTGTCTAGAAGAACAAGAACTGAAGAATGGCTGTTGAAGAGACTGTTAGACAGCAGAGCCTTCCAGCTTCATGACAGCTTGATGTTGATTATGATGATTGCCTCATGTCAGCATGTCTCTAAGTATTATTGTCTGTAAACTGATGGGAAATTAATTTTCAGACAAATTTTTACTTAGTTGCTGACTTTCAATGAATGAATCACTTTTGTGAAATAAGGAAATTATACAAAATATGATTGGCCAGTGTAATAAAACTAATACTTCACACAGTTATTTTTACCAACAACTTAATCAATCTACATGCTGCAGGGGAGAAGTCATTACTTGTTTTTCATGTTCAAGGTCATTTTTAGAGATCTCAACTCTGAAATGCTTTGTGGAGAGCTGCAACGGGTAACACTGGAGTTCCAAAACACCGGAAACGCAGCATTAACAGCACTGTATGTGGCATCAACAACTCCAGAATTATTCTCACTCGGACAACCCTTACCACAGCAGCCTGGTGTACATCAAGTAACACATGTGGTAGCTCATCTATTTCCAGGACAGACTCATGCAGTACCCATGTGGCTTCGTGCTCCAGACACAAAAGGAATCACAAGCATTGAAATGTTATTCTACTATGAAAATGCAAACAGCAATAGTAACCCTAGGTATGAATAAATGTAAAGCTTCTGTACTAGACTATTGAGAATGTCAGTAACTAACTAGATGGCTTAGGTAACCTGAAGGTTCATTACCAAATTAACCAAAGCCCTCCACCAGTCCCTGTCCTGGGCCAGCAAAATTTAGTCACCTTCAATTCCTATCTCCCACAGATCTTGCTTGGTATTATCCTCCCATCTATGTCTAGGTCTCCCCAGCGGTCTCTTCCCTTCAGGCTTCCTGACCAATATTTGCTGCACACCTCTTGCCCATCCATGTGTACCATATGCCCTACCCATTTCATTCCTATTGAGAATGTCTATATGAACAAAATTTCATATATCCACCTAACTCCAAGGAGCGTCTTGAGCAGATTATCATTGCTCAGCTGGCCAATAAATTATCCACATTTTCTAAAACCCACAAGTTTATTACTGTATTCACAAGAGTCTGCCACTCAGCAGCGTTCTGAGACAATTGAATCCAGCCCTACCTACTTTTAGGTCCATTTTAACATTGTCTCATCTATGCCAAATCTCATAAGTGGTCTCTTCCCCTCAAATTTTCAAACTAAAACTTCTATGCATTTCTTAGATCCCTCATGCATGTTACATTCCCCGCTCGTCTTAGCCTAATAACATTTAGAAAATAATACAAATTATGAAATTCCTCACTGTGTAATTTTTCTCATCTGTTCATTTACATTTTGTTCTCAGCATTTTATTTTCACCCTTGGTCTCTTTTTCTCTTTGACTAAGAGACCAAGTTTCACACTTACATAAAAAAACATGAAAAATTGTAGTTTATATATTTTGTATTAATCTACACCTTCAGCTAGGAGAAGGAATTTGAAAGGTTCTGAACTGAATGAAAGGAAGTATTCCATAAAATTGTATGTATCTCTTTTTTTGTTCTAGTTAAAGTAATATTTATTTTTTGCAGGTACCGTCTTGTAAGGCATTCATGGCAACTGACTGTGTTAAGCTCAATCCAGCTCACAACTACAGCACTGAGAAGCAGTGCGGCAGTATGGAATGGAATGCAGGAGATTTTGAACTTCACACTTTGTGTCAAAAATTGCAATCAGGTTGCAAGACTTTTTTTTCAGTCATTGGTCAAATGGTTTACCCAATTTTTTTTGTTTCATGGCTGCATGCAGAGCTTGATTCATTTCATTCAAAACAAGAATATTCTTATTTAAAACAAGACTGGAAAGTATGCTCTTATCTAATATATTACAAATGGATTATTTTCAATCTTACATTCTTTATAGTTCTTGATATTTTATTTGTTACTGATTAAAATTCTGTAGTGTAACATTTAAATTTATTTCTTCTTGTTGTCCTTAAATGTGTAATATTAGTGGTTTTATCAAATATCTCTGTGAAAATGTAAGTCCTGAATAAATTGTACAGATTGTTACTGTTCCTCGTTTTCAGGTTCATGATCAGTTAATGACAGAGATATCTCTACTCCAGATTTCACTAGCAAGTCAAGTCTGGCAGCTATCAAAAAACGTTGTGGTACCTGAAGGTTGGTTGTAGTTTCATAATTGAATTATAAATTTAGCCATTTAAAATCCAGTTATGAGGTATTCCAGTTTTAACACAGTCTGTACCTCAACAACATCAAAACATTGAATATCACAGATTTGTATGCAGTGAAATATTTATGATACTATGGTTGTTGTGTATACAGTTTAAGATACCAGAAACAGGTGGCATAATAACACAGAAAACGGAACAGATTATGTCAGATTGTTCTTATGTGGAAAGAGTTTAAATATTTGTTCTCAGATCTTTCTTCAATAAAAGACATTGAAAAATTTAAATTTTAAGAAAAAAGAGTCATCTCTCAAATTTCTGCAGCACTTAAAAAAAACATTGATATACTTTGTTGTTTTAAGACTTGTTTCTGTACTCCTAGATGTGAGACTCCAAGCTCAGGAAATGGTTCATTTTGTGGCTGTGGCTCAGAGACAAGAAGAAGATGGTGGGTTTCACATTTATTTTTACCCTTTGATTTGTAAAGTTCCTTGCTAGACTTTTTGAGAGTATTTATAATATCAGCATAAACATGTTACCTAATTCAATATAGTCAAAATGTTAAGATAATGGTAAGAATGAGGATATCACAGAATTTTCAAGAAATAAGTTTTACTTTTTTCTCATATTTCTATTACTGCAGCAAGTGTTGATAACTGATTGTTTTTATTTATGTCATCTGAAACAGTGTTATTTATTATATTATTATTATCTCCTTATTATAGAATCCCAAGGAACCTAAACATTTATCTGTTTAACATGGTATTTATTTATGTTTGTTTTATGTGCTCACAAGATATTTAATATACTAAAAAGCTACTGAATGGATCTCCATTCTTTTTAGCAGGTGCTAAGAGAAATATTTTCTCTGATGTAACGTTGAACCAGAATCGAAAAGCTACAGGATCTTTGAGTGAAAGTCCTTACATTGATTTCTTCAATCGTCATTTTGCTGGAAGTACAAAGATTTCAGCAGATGGTCCTGACATGTCAGCATATCTGCCCGACCCTTCAGTCTCCAATACTGGCAGTGAAATTAATAAAGATTCATCTGTTAAGGACATGGACGCAGCTCTTAAAGTTGAAGCAACTATTATACTGAGGTGGAAGGTAATTCATGAGTAACTACTATGCAGCGTGGATCTGAGCCTCAGATTAGTGTTGGCCATTAGATGTGACTAAAGAGGGAAATAAAAATAAATCTTCATCATTTATAACCTTCACATAATGTTTAAATGAATGTAGTGGTTCTCAGACTGCAAATATAGCCTTTAGTCCTAATCACAATACTTCTTTGGTGAGATAGTGTAAACTGGTTGTGACTATATTGCATGAAGTATGCAAGGTTGGGTAAGTGGATTTTGTAAAGTGGCATGTAGCTATAAGTTGTATTTCTTTAGTGTTGCTTCCTTTACATGTATGTTAAATAATTAGAAGAAGTTTCTTCTATGGTCAAGCTTGACCATTGTGACCCCTTTTGGGGTTTTCTTGTGAAAGTACCACGGTGGTTTCACCTTGCCTTCTGTGGCCAGTCTTTACCCACCCGACTGTAAGAGGAGACACGGACAAACATCCATGCCTTGAGTGGGACTCGAACCCACGGTCACTGCAGCCAGGCGCACGAAGACCATGCCTCAGACCACGTGGTCACTGCGCCATCATGTTAAATAATTTCATATGAGGAAATAACTTGTGATACTGATAAAACAAACATTGCTGTATTATGGTCAGTAAATATGCGTTATGTTCAAGGTGTTTCAAGTTTAATGTTAAAATAGTACCTTAAAAATAAGTTAATATCTGCTTTCTTCCACATCCTTTTACTATGCAGGTAATTTTATATATTCAACATGATATATACTCTGCAGTAATAACAGCATAGCTAAATAACAGAAGGATTACAATTTCAGTTTTTTCACAATTCATTCATACCACCCCATAATTTGATTATCTATAACCTATTCTGCTTACAAAGTGTCATAACATGAGACAAATTAGTAATTTTGTTTAATCCATATCTTATGTTGCATGTTACAGGCATGTGTGACTGATGGTGGAGGCAAGAAACGATCAGCCATTGGCCAACACCATCTTGTGGTGGAAAAAATAGGGACACCCATAACATGGCCTCTGGAACCTACTGGACCATTGCAACAACAAGAATTAATGGGACCTCTTAGAATATTTCACCCACATGATACCTCATCTAACAGCCCTGGGGCTTCAGAAAAATATGCACCTATAGAAATTCTTCAGAAACTAGTCACTTACAATGTTTGGCATGCATCCCAAGTCATACATGACTTCAAGAAGTCCAGGTAGGTAGTGCTAGTGTTATGTTGAAGATTTCTGTCTTCTGGGTTGTTGCGCTGTGTAGTCTGGTCGAAGTTAACTAACGTTTCAGAGGTCATACTGCCTCCGTCATCAGGGCGATGACGGAGGCAGTATGACCTCTGTGACCGCTGTGAAAACCTCAAATCTTACATAGTGTTATGTTATTTACTATGTTATATATTATTGAAACATAAAATGTGTATGAATAGTGGAGCTGTTTCCAACCCTCTGTATGACTTCATGACATTGTGCATAAGCATATAAACAAGTTGACTTCCTTTTTTTTACTGTCAGTTTGGATGAGTGTCAAAATGTTAAAATTCTTCACTTTGTTTTGAAAAAATTGGTAACACATAATTATATCTTTTGATATTTTCTAAAATAATATTTTGTATTTTTAGACTCTGTGTGACGCCTGTTATGCTCACACTACAGAACTGTTCTGACAGATGCCTTGTGGTCAAAGTGAACACTTTGGGGAACAGTAGGTAAGTATTCAATCACTTCTTTTGTTCCTAATGTACCTTCTGATTGAAGTTCAGAGCATTGTTATTTCTTTAATCAATTGGTCCTGTTTTCAGAGCTCTAGATTGAAATTTGCCCTCATCCAGAAGAATAATGTTATGAGATTAAATATATTTTGTCTACCTAGCTTATACATGGTAGAGAAGAGCAAGAAATCAAGTTTGCTTCATTTATTCGCCCCACTTTCATCTGTAAGATTAGAAGTAGCTTCCATTACTGAGATTAATATGTTGTTATCCAGTTTTATTTTTTTTATTTCTGCCAAAAATCTATTGATTATTTATTAAAAATTTGTTTGTTCGTGATTATCAAAACAAAATACTCTAACCTTTTTACACTATGCATGCATTTTTAATTGCCATGAATGCAATACAAGCAACAGAATATACATAAAGCTCTGTTTTTGACTTGTGACAATTTACATTATAACTGTGTACTTCAATGGAAATTCCATAGATGGAACACACATCTTTTTGAGATAAATCACACAGACGACGTGAAGTTTGAAATATTTTATCAGAAACTACTAAATGGTTAAATTACTTATAGTGCTAGAATCTGCAAAGTATGCTGAAGGAACAATTGTACACAACTGCCTTCAGTCCACTTACAACTTTCTATTTTTGCTTCTTCTTCTTTTCAGTTCTGCTTCTGCAGCCAATAAAAACCAGTTGTATTCACCACATTCATCCAGTTCATTCCGGTGGGTGGGGTTAGCTGGGACATGGCTAGAATTGGGACCACATACATCTGGAAAGATATATTTATCTGCTGCAATAGGGTCTCCAGGGACATATGACCTTGGAAGTCGCTTGGAAGTGTTGTGCAGGTCTCCAGGAGCACCTGAAGCAGACGCAGTTTCACAGAGATGGCACATAGAATCAGCATTTGTAGTCAGTAGTGCTCCCTCTAGTGGGTTATAGTCTGCTTTAGTTATAATATTTGAACTCTTATCATATGCCTAGCATGAAGCTAGTGCATTTCATCAGCTCTTATTTTCACCAGTAAGTTGCTCATCTGTGTGATTATGTGATACTGTGACTTGATGTGAAGTCATAAAACTGTGATCGACCACTTTGATTATAATGGATGAGTGTCTGATAAATGATATAAATATATTACTTCAAATTTTATTCATTTCTGGAGGTATTAAGGAGTGGCCAATATTGAAAGTTAAACAAAATAACAGAGTATTTACTGCACCCCAGTTTAACAGAACAAACTGGAATTTTTAGATCATGATTGAAATAAATTTGAATTTGTTAAACTGAACTTATGCAAGTCAGTTTTTGGAAATCGTGAATTTGCAAAAAATCAGTTTCTGGTCTCTGCTTTCATAATCACAAAGTACTGCGTATGAAGCATTAGTTACCTCTCTGTATATGGAATCCTTACTGTATGAAGCAATTGTTTTCTTTTACTGTAAGAAGGGGGGAATTGCTGTTGTGTGAGCAGGGTGATGAAGTTTACTTGTGGTACTTTGTAAGTATGTCTTAGTCCAAAGAATTATAAATAATTTATACACATTCTTCTGTTCTGCATTAACAAAACACCATTTACATTTTGTGATTATACAAATAATTGTACTGTGTCATTATGAAACCTTTTGCCACATTCAACAGATGACTGCAAGAGAATTGTGTGGATTGTCATTTTTACATTTTTAATCACATTTATTCCTCTCTGCCTTATCTTATTAGCAACTTCTATGCAGCATGTAAAATTGTCATATAATGTTCTGATAAACTGTCATGTATACAAAATATTGCAGTGAAATGTGTCTTCCATTCTTATTTATACTGTCACATTTCATATGAAAATTGATTATGATTGTGTAAGGGATGAGAGGAAAATGGTATGAAGGGGGATAAAATGTAAACATTAAATAAACATGCCATTAGTTTTTGCAGTTGTTTCATTTGTATTATATTATAATGATGAAATAATACATGTTATGATAATTAAATTTCTACATATGATTGTCATTAATTATAAAATGCCAGAAAACAATTAAATACCTTTACACAACTGCCTCTTTGTGTAATGGTGTTACTTAAATTCATAATAGTAGTCACTAAATCAAGATATGGCCTGAAAACTATATAAACCATGCAATTACACTTGGTATAGAATTGCTCTTATTCCTTATATTTTATGCTGTAGTCTTATTGGATACAAATAATAATAATAATTACAACAGCAACAATAATGTAATTTAGAACATTTAATATGGAGTAATAACAGGGTAGTGAATAGTGTCTCTTGATTTACTACACAGTTTAATGTCCACATTAACACCCTTTCTTAATTGCTTGTGTACTTTTCAGGCTGGTTTCATTTATACATGCTCAGCTTTCAGCATCCCAGCTTGGTGGACTGCTGAAACTTCATGCTGAATGTTCAGCTAACTGTATTTCCTGCAGCAATGAAGAGAAAAGAGATTATAAAAAAGTTTTAAAACAAATGGTTACATGTATACTGCAAAGTTACTGTAAAACATAATCCAAAGTATCTCAGTACTTGATGTGTTGGTAACAGTACCAGGATAAACTTTCTTGGGGTTTTTATTTCCTAATTCTGAGTAGTAGAAACCAAATGAAATTAACAAAGAATTTGTGCTACTTAGTGTGTACTGTTATTCTTATTGAAAATCACACATTTTCAGATTTTATTTCTTTCCTCTTTTGCTTCTTTAGTAGTCTGTTATAGTGCATATTTTGCCAATAGTTGGGTTTTTATTCTTATCTATTTTTGTCACAATAATATTCACTGTAACAGTTATAAATTCCAGGGAGCACAATGCAGAACAGAATTATCTGAACAATAAATATATGTATATATTGCAGCGAACTATTTTCCTTTAAATTCTTAAGGTTTTTTTCCAGTTACAATATTAGGCAGGCTATTTGTTATAGCTAGATTTCAGTTAGTTTTCACTTTCTTCATAGTACAAGAGAAATTTTATTATAAAGACAGATTTATGTTAAATCCAGGTTTTTCTTATTTACTTTGTTATTTGATCAGTAAGAAAACCAGTTCAGACCTAGCCAGTTGTTAAGACATAAAAGTTGAAGTATGAATATATGACATGTCATGACACTGTTACTGTCAAATCATTCACTATTTTGGATTGTTTTGCATTTATTGTACTTTGTGTCTAGTTCCCATTTAGTTTCATGTGGAACTGGATGACTCTGAGTATAGAGAGTGTACTTCTACATATTATTGATGGTGGTGATAAATCTGTATCACATGTTGGTGATTATGCCTGTAAATACATAAATAAATAACAAAACCAATAGAATTGCTGCCTTTGTATATCTTGTAATATTTGCATAAGTAATTAGTCTATAAGGGATATATAAGAACAGAATGTATTAGGAACTTAATATTTCCATACCATATTTGTTGTTAAATTGTATATATTGTTATTAGGCTAAGAATCATATCATATCTATTTGTTAAACCATTTTTCATGTTTAAGTAGATAGAAAACTTCCCTCTTATGTTTGTCTTTTTTTTTTTTGAAGAATGTGTTTACATTTATAAAATGGTAACCATGCAATTAGCATGTAACTGTATAGTTTCTGTGAATGATTATGGATAAATATTATATATGACTGTGCGCATAAATATTTAATAGTCATGAAAGAAATTCTATTATTGTATTATTTGAGGTTTTCACAGCGGTGAGCATGAAGATTTCTGGCTTGTTGCACTGTGTAGTATGGTAGATGTTTACCAACATTTCAGACGTCATACTGCCTCCGCCATCAGGGTGCCCTGACGGAGGCAGTATGACCTCTAAAATGTTAGTAAACAACTACCATACTGCACAGTGCAACAACCCAGAAGACAGAAATTTTCAATTTTATTATTGATAAGCAGTTCAAAAAGAAAAATCATTTATTTGAAGCCAGCTAATTTTGTGTGTTAATAAAAATGATTATTGTAATTTTTCTGGCCTGTTCAAAAAACTGAGACTACAGTACTTTCGAGATTGGACATAGAAGGGATAATAATATTAGAATGTATCTTGGAGAAAAGAGGTGTGAAGGTGTGAAATGTATTCAGGTGGATCAGAATGGGCCTGAGATAACACAACTTAATTACTTTCAGGTCCTATGAAAGGAGAGGATTTCTAGACCAGCTGAGTAACTGCAGCTTTTCTGTCAGTTTTCACAATTTGTATTGCCAAAGCTGCTTATTCCACTCGATCTCGACACTGTCCACAAGAATCCATCCTTGTACATGGTGATCCCCCACCTCAAGGTAATGGGTTATGACCCTGGATACTGCCATAGAGGAAGACAAACTCGATGGAAAGCCACTGTCCAGTAATCAGACCAAAAAGTCTGATTTAAACTTCATATAAAGTAAGGGTGATATTGGACCGTTATGAACCAAAAGTAATAATACAAGGCAGTTCTTGATGTAGACCTTACGTATATCACTTCAAAAAGATCCACAGCAAGTTGTTTTTTTTTACTTCTAATTGCAGTTACCTAGATGGCAAATATCGAAATAACATATTCGATCTCTCGATCATACTGAAGTAATGCGAAACAATTCCTACACCATCTTTTGATCAAGAATAACAAAACTCTGAAAGTGTAATTAGCTATAATACATCATTTAGTGTTATACGTATCAAATTATGTAGTAAAACAGTAAACTTATACCATAAATACGACATTTTACATAAATTGAGTGTAATAGTAGCGTCATTTATTACCATTCAGTTTGTTTTGGGCATATTTCCGTTCATATGTTACAAAAAGCACGGTTTTAATATATGTTAAAGACGCACAATGGCCACCACAATTGCGTTTACACAGAAGTTCCGCCATCTGTTACGCATCCACGAAAACGCTCAATGAACTGTAGAGGGGGGTGCAAGAAATGTGCCTCGTTTCCGAGTTTTCCGTGGCGGGCTGTAAGCAGCCATCTTGGTTTTTACTCTTTGAGAAGCCGGCTCATCTTTAAATACGCAATCGAATTGGGAACTTGAAGCCTTTTTTACACGCCATTTTATACATACTGAAACTCTTTGTGTATGTATATTCGTTAGTGGTGCAGGATTCCACCTCGGAATGTATTAGGTACGCAGAAATCATGTGCGAAATTTTGATGGTATGAAGTTCCGGATGGAAGATACAGCCAAGTAATGGCGATTGCTGAGCTGTTGGGGCAGTGGCTATTTCGTTTTTCGAATTCTTATGCAGTGTTGTCTTTGGAATTCAATATATGTATTATTGGATTTGGATTTCTTAATAAATTTACGAGGTTATCTGCTGATTATAATACGTGTGGATGTGAAGTAATGAATTAGTTTCGTGTATAATGTAAACCGATGTATGGTTTTGACTAATTAAATGTTCAGTCCTAGCCAATATAAATTAGACGACTTGGGAGTGGTTGGGTTTTAATTTGCTGTACTTCGTTGTAGATAGTGATATGAAAGTTGTACGTTGTTTTAAGTTATGAGTGTCAGTTGTTCAGAAGTGTAAGTTGGGAATTTAAAAATTTATATAGGTTAGTTTTTGTATTTAAATCATCGAGTTTTGTTTGTGTGTTATTTTTGATACCTCTAAAGTTGTGGTGAAATTATATAAATGTAATTATAAAATGTTACACACCAGGACATCGAACTGAACTACTTTGTGTATTGTACGTACATTATAACATGCCTTGATGGCGTATGCTAAGGTATTTGACACCATGGAGTATCTTGAACTTTGTTTATATTTTCAGGAATATTATTACAAGCTTATGTTGCGACAGTGTCTATAAATCGTGCGACTTGCTCCAGATTCCAGTCGCATTGGGTTCTAAAAATGGCTCTGCCAAGCCGTTCACGAGTTTATTCAGACATAAACTCTCATAAGCCTCGCGAATATTGGGATTATGAATCATATGTTGTGGACTGGGGGTGAGTATAAAATGATGAAGTAATAATTACAGAAAATTATTTTTTGTTAGAGAAACCTAAATTTACATTAGTATTGTTTGTGGGATAAGTACAGTATGGTGACCATTTTACTTGAATTAGTTTAATGTATTTATATTTGGACTGGGGACCATAAAACCCAAATCCTTAGAGTAAGTAGGGGGCTTGGGTTAGACTAATTATGTTAGGTTAGTGACAAAGTACAGCCAGAATTCAGAAGCACTTACAAATGGTCACTACATTGTAAAAGTTTTCATTGTTTGCATATTAGTTTAGTTTATATATATAGTAAGTAAACACTCTTTTCCATTTCATACTGATTCATTAATTTTCTATTATTTTAGTATATTTTGATCAAGATAAATAGTTTGTAGGACAGAAAACATGCCTGTTTAGCAGTCAAGGATATTGACTATATTGAGACTTGTTCTGTATTTTAAGTCATATCATGGTACGGGGGATAGATTGATTATGTATATTGTGTGGTTCTAAAAAGTTGTTTGTGATTATGTACTACTATTGCTGTTCAAACTGCTGTTTCTCTGTGTTACAATCTACATTAGACTTTGATCCATTAAAACGGTTATGAATCATTTATTTTGTTCTCATATAATATTTTCATGCTTGTATTCATAATATATATATATATTACTGTATAATCACTAGCTAACATTTATTGTACTTCAGGCAACAAGATGATTATCAGCTTGTTAGGAAACTTGGACGAGGGAAATACAGTGAAGTGTTTGAAGCCATCAATATTACAAACAATGAAAAATGTGTAGTGAAAATATTAAAGGTATGCATTTTAAACATATATGTTGTTGTTGTTGTAGTTAAGCTGAAATGCAAATAGGTACCAATAGTTTTCTGAAAAAACATCTTTGACCTTGTTAAAATAGAGTAACATGTTTTGCTGTAGAATATTGTTCCTTGGTCCCCATTTCAGGTAGTTGGTGATAAATAAAGGTTAGAACTATCTTTAAAATGTTATTTTGAACAACAGCTCTGATTCCCACCTGTACTCCTAAGATATAGGTGTAGAGAACACTTTATCTCAGCAGTATAAGCAGTCAGAGTATGAAGCTGACATTTGCCTTCAACTAGAATCTTAGCTCAACATCCACATCTGACACAGTGTGGTGCTTAATCACAGAGAACTTTGTCCATACATTTTATTTCTAAAAAGTTAAAAGGTGTTTAATTATGAGTATAATTTAAAGTACAAATCCAAAGAAAGAAATGGAATTGCTTGTGATATAGATATTTTATTAATTATACATAAGACATAATGTATAGTCTATATACATAGGCACATTACCTTGAATATTGTAGTTTTGGAAGAAAGTTTAATGATTTTTAAGTTTGATGTGTACATATAAATTAAGGATATAATTTTATTTAAAAAGTTCAGATCACTCCAAGGAGATAGCATTTCACTTGTTCACCAAAAATATTTGTAATTTAATGCATGATTCATGCAATATTATGTCTTGCTTTTGTTTCTTTTGCATTTTTTTTATTGTATTGTATTGTGATTTGTGATGATAGAACCAATATTCGCTGATTCATAGCTGCTGGTAATCAATTCTGGAATGGCATTTGGTTATCCAGGGCTCCTGTTTAACAAAGCAGGGTCCCAGGTGCTGATATAGTAATAAACTTGAAATTTTATTCACTGTAATGACTGTACCTTGAAATCACCAGTTAATATTTCTCTGCATGTCTATGAATTTGAATACTAAAGTGAGGAAAATACAGAAGGATGTGAACATAAGACAGTGGATTTGGAACTACTGAAATAAAATATTAAGTGTGGGATAACCTTGTATCAAGAAATGTGAAATTCTGTTGTTTGCAGTGTTTTGGGTGGAAAAGTATAAAAGTAAAGGTTTGTGTAGATTCTCTTCCTTTCTATTCTCTGATGTGATCATTTCTTTAACTTTGTATAGGATCTTGTTATGAATAGCATAAAAGAATTGAATTTGAACTTGGAAAGGATTTTTATAATTTTGACTATTTTAAGGAGTATACTTTGCATTTGGATTATTTTATTTGCAGCATATTGACTTATGCTTTTTGTGCCCTTTTCAATCCGACTCATTGTGTTCATAGCACTATTTTTTATTTAAAATATTTTGATCGTGTTTTTCCTTCCACTACACTCGGGAATTTCAGTTTTGCTGTTGGAATGTGAAGTCACAAAAAGTAATAAAACTCAATTGTTCAGTCTACACGAAGTTCTTGGAAATGTTTTGAACACACTCAAGTATGAACTTGTTTTAGAAATATAGCAATGCTTGAACAGTAATTTAGGTCAGCTACTTATATTGCAGTACCTAGAATAGACTTAAAAATAGCTGACTACCTTAATAAAGCTATTGAGTGTTACATCTAATTAATGTTTGGTAGTGAGTTAAATATTCTATGGGATATAGGAGTTAAAGGAGACTGGATTTTGTTGGCCCAGGACAGGGTCCGGTACAGGGCTTTGGTTAATTCGGTGATGAACCTTCGTGTTTGGTAAGCCATGTAGTTAGTTAGTGAGTTAAATATTTTCAGTGCCACTTTTAAGTTCTTGTAACATGCTGATTTTGCTTCCATTTTATGGTACTTCGAGTTCTTATGTCACATGGATAGATTTGGATGTTTAAACATTTTGTAACACTAATCAAATGCAAACATTCTTATTTCTTTAGCCTGTGAAAAAGAAGAAGATTAAGCGTGAAATAAAGATTTTGGAGAACCTGCGTGGAGGAACGAATATCATCACTCTCCAGGCTGTGGTGAAGGATCCAGTCTCAAGAACACCAGCTCTTATCTTTGAACATGTCAATAACACAGACTTCAAACAATTGTATCAAACATTAACAGACTATGACATCCGATACTACCTGTATGAATTACTCAAGGTAAGAGTACCTGCAAAAAGAATGAAAATTCAGTGGAGATTGTGACATTCAGCAACAGTGCCTCCAAACCACAGTGATCAGGAGCACGAGATTCAAGAAGAAACAGCAAGAAAAGTGTGATGAGTGTGATTGATCCATCACATTATTTAATTTGATGAATTGGAAAAATCAGGGAATGTAAGGGTGAAAGGTATAAGTCAAGTCATGTTAAGGGATCGGCGGTTAAATTAAGCATTTTGCTGAAACATGTTTCCAGATAAGGATTTTTTCAGATGCTTTTATTTCTGTGGGGCTAGAGTCTTGGTTGTGTGATTTTCCTTGTTTGTGGCAGTGGGGTAACAAAGGTTATAGTGTGATAGATTTGCTCTTGAAATCAGCCTTCTGATTGATGTTTTATGCTTTTTATAGTCACTTGATATAGCCATTTCATATGATTTCTTTTCTGTTGGGATGAGGTTTTATTAGAGAAAACTGAAATTCAGAAGTTTGTCATTTTTTGAATTAGTGCCCAATTTAGGAAAATGTTAAAAGTAGTGTGAAAATTGGTAGATGATGACACCACTGTTCAAATTGTGAGACCTGTAAAGTGTTGTTGGACACAAGAGCAGCAGTTCAGTCACTGTAAAGTTCTTTAATTAATCAATATATCAGGCAGCAGAAAATATGTATTCATTTACAGTTTAGTAGAACTCATCTTTGCTTTTGATTTTGTGAAGTAAAGTGTTGCATGGTACAAAATTAGGTGCATGGTGGAAAATTAATTTGTTTCTTAGTGTAACATTTTGACTTATTTCAGGTTAAATGTTCATGCTCCCATATTATTCCTATTTGTTTCAGATTTCTTTTTGGTATTTCTCTCTCTGTAGGGTTCAAGTCTATTTGCTGTAAGAGAAATGTGTGATTGACTATAAAATTGCCTCATTTTGACATATTAGCAAAATATAGCATTTTGTAACTTACTTTGCATTTGTATTAATTTTGAGCTGAATATTTTGATATAAGAGGGGTGAAGTGACAAGAGGTTAGAAAAAATTGCATAATGAGGTGCTTCATAATTTGTACTCTACGTCCTTATTAGGATTATCAGGTCAAGGAGAATGAGATGGGTGGGACATGTAGAACAGATGGGAGAGATGAGAAATGTGTAAATGAATTGTTTTCGAGTGTGTTGGCTTTTTACAACCCATCTCCGAAACGTCGTTTCTGTTTATATTATTTTGCTAGATGAAGGAAAATATCCAAAGAACTTTTTATTTAAAAAACATGCTATATTTATTTCAAATTCTGTAACCATTGTCTGAAATATTAATTGTTTGTGGAACATTCTTCAAATGTAACTGAAATGTCTGGAGAGCATGCAGTGGTGTCTTTGTTAACCACACAATTCGTACTAGGTGCTAATTTGATCAGTTCAGCTTTGAGGTTTGTTTTATGGAAACAACTTAAGTGGGCGATATGAATGGCTTAATAACTTGATTAATGATTGCATTCTGCATAATTGTTTTAGAATTCAGTGTAATATTCTTGCTCATATATCTTGAAAAGTATATTGAAAAATAAATATATGTTTTATAGGGGTTTTTGAGATTTGATTGGAGTTTTTTATTTTCAAAATTTGATACCTTATGTGATAGAATGCAAGGTATAGATGATACAAATTGTGGATTGGGCATACTACAAAAAGGATTTGTTAATTAATTTTTCATAAATTCTACATGATCAACTTCGAAACTTGCTAGTTTGGCATGTTTAACATGCCACACATTCATGTAAATTCTGCTGTTTTTATACCTTTGAATTTATACAGTGGAGGGGATCAGTGATTCAGACCACCGCTAACTGCTTAATAGTATACTATTCTAATTATGAAAATGTTTTAGAAACATGGTTTGCTTGTCATGAAAGTAGATTGCAGAAACATGTAAAAGGGAGTTAAGTATGGAGAAAGGTTTGCTTTTGTATATAGTGCTGGGGAAGTATATGTATTGAGAAAGTGTGTGATAATGTGAAACATCCTACCAAAATTACTTTGTTGCTGAGGGATTTCAGATTTAAGGGAACACTTTAATGGCTAAGAGGAGGTTTTATAAAAAGTTTGTTGGTATCTGGTTATTTATGGCTAATGGTAGGTTCTGCACATTGAAATCTAATATTCAAGAAACTACACATGAAACTTATGGAGAATAATTTGATTTTTAGTGATTTTGTTTTTCTTCGAGATGTAAAGAAATGGTTCTGTAAAACTTGTAAGCCATTTATACAGGAGTGCCATTAAGAGACAGCTTTAGCACAATCAAGTACTTTTAATATTGGCAATATCCTGCATAACATAGTAGAAGATGTGAGTATAAATACCTTTAGTCATGGCTAGGCACAACATTTTGTTGAAATAGTTTAATTTTATCAATTTTTAGGGTAATTTCCAGAACAAAAAGCAGGCTTTAATAGAACATGGCAGTAATAGAATGTGTTAGGTTTTTCGTGTAAGGAAACATTAAAAACAAGCACTGTGGTGGTTTTGTGTTTGTTGTCAAACTCATTGAACCATAACAAGAAGTGCTTTATATCCAAATAAACCATCTGTTTTTAATTGGCACTTAGATGGTGCTACTTATATACAGTATGCTTGTTCGGATTTTGATAAATATAAAAGCATTTTAATTAATAATTTTTTCCAAACTTCAGGTATATTCAAGCATGAGTTATCATTGTAAAATGAGTATATATGGCAGCTGTGCTGCTAGTATTAGAAAATATGGCAACCAGTGCAGTGATCACATGTAGCAGAGAGGCCAGTCCATACCACTAGTACAGGCTCCATTTCCCTTATATTATATATTATTATATCCCATACTTGGTACATAATGTAGATGGCAGTGTAGGTTTGGATGGTTGTATGTTTGGAAACAGAACAGGAATCTTCATTTATTACAGATATCTCGGGTCGTTAATTGTGGAATTTGTAGTTTGACATGTTTTTTGCACAGCTGTCCATATTGCATGTGCTTGTGCATATGTGTAGGTGTATTCTTTACTTGGCAATGTTATCTTGCAATTTACATGCTGCCTTTAATTTATTAAAGTCAAAACTTATTCCCCCACAACTTTTTTATTATATTTTGATTTTTTTCCTTCTCCCCCCCCCCTTCCACCTTAGTCTATGTGGGGATTGTAGCACCTCATAGACCAGTAACTACACTGCCATTTGTTTAAAAGAAAGAAAGAAAATCATCTTCTCTGAACATCTTTGGTGTCGATATAGTATCATATTACTACAGGTAGGACTCGGCTTCACTTTTGCGCCTCTCATACGTCACGATTGGAGGGGATGATGAGTCATAACCCTGCCCAACTTCCTAGACAGATGGTCCTGACATTGTAATAATACTAAATGATAAACTTTGGCCTAAAATTTAAATAAACAAAAATCGGAATATAAAATGCGATGAGAAAAAGCAAATTACATTAATTGAGGAATTGATACAGTTCTACAGCCACACTATAACTTATTATCAGAAAAGAAGAAAACCAAACAGACATCTATTCTATCGTTTTTAAAGGAGTAAATTTTCTTTCTTATTCTTAAACATTATACAATTTTCAATACATAGATTTCATAAAATAAAACATTTTTCAAGTATTTTGTGTTGATTACTGAAAATGGAACCTAATGTTTTTACATAAGTTCCCATTATATTTTTGCTTCAATTTATGCCGGAAATCTCAGGAACTAACCCTGGCGTAAACCGAGTCTCTGCATTTTTGTTTTGGAGTTACCCATCCTCGGTTGAATGTTTTTAAGGAAGTCTTAAAGAATCAATATGCTTTGATCAGTCAGGAGTAGCTTGTTTTGTCAGACCCCTTTTTTACTTTAAGGTGAAGGATGATGATCCATTCCTCTGAATGTAATGATTTTTGAGACTTTTTAAAAACATTCAACAGGTGATGGATAAAATCCAAAACAAAGAACTTGTTTGATTTTGTGTGGAAACATTTTGCTAGGCTACACAAATGGATACATTTTATGGGTCCAGAAGTAGGGTTTATGTTATCTTGAGTTTTATGTTTGGCCATTTCCTCTCCTGTTTCAGCCATTCTTGGACCAGCCCATAAAATTCACTGTGAAGCACTTGTGAACTGTGTTGCTATAATTGCTTTAGTTATTTTCTCATTTTTTAGAAGAGGGAACAGTGCTTCAGCATGCTACAGATTGCTGCTTTTGTATCACGTATGTTAGCAACCAGAATTTTCTGTGTTTGAAATAGATTAAGTGGAGGTCAGTATATTCCATTTGTATGAAAGTCAGTAATGCACAGAGATGTATGATAAATCACTGAAGCTTCTTACTGTTTCTGAACATTTTTTTCAAAGCATAAGCATCATGCATCCCAACATGGATGTTGTAAATGTTGGGTGTAGTTTGAATATGCAAATCTGCATTTTATTCTGAGACATCTATTTTACTTCCTTTAGAACAGCAGGGTGCTTTCTGGCCTAGAGGTTGACTATTCTGACTTATGTTCTATGAGATTTTCTTCATTATTTCCATATATATTCTAGATAGTGCAGTAAAAGAGACTGGTCAGTTTTCTTCCCAATTCATCATTCACATTCATCCATATGATACTTTATAATCATTACGACTGAGAAAGTTGTGATGAAACTGTTCCCTGATATTCACTAGTTGTTAGCAAAGGCTATTTTCCCAGGTAAAGTGGCCAGAGCATGAAACTGAGCCCTCTTGTCTAGTGCTATTATGAAGATTATGTGAAACTTTACGTCCACTTTATCTTTCGTACAGGAATAACTTTGCCTTTTAATTTTCATTAACATTTCTTAATCTATTGTGACATATATGGCATTTGTGGTACCACTGGTCCAGAAAGAATGAAGGCTGTTTTGTCACTTTTGTGGTATGTTGTCGGATATGAGTTAAGTCGTAATCCTACACTACTTTTAATGATGATAATCCTTTACGGGATGACATAGATTGGCCATGTAGCACTTACAGAAGAGGTAAAAAATGGATACAGAAGTTTAGTTGGAAAATCTGAAGGAAAGAGGCTGTCTTGGAGCCTAGGCATATGGGAAGGTATTAATTTGTATCCTAGATAGAGTGTGATGGTGTGAACTCGATTGATCTGGTTTAGAATAGGATCTGTATGCAGGCTGTTGTGAACACCACAATGAATCTTTGGGGTACATAAAAGATGGCATATTCTTGACTAGCTGAGTTGCTGTTAAATTTTCAAGCAGGACCACGCTCCATGGAGTTTATAATAAACTCTTTGATCGGTGTGCATATTCATGAACGTTATTTAATGTGTTTATCTAGTATGATGTTTGCTTGGTTTTAGTCTGTCTCACTATGCTCTAAATCATTTGTTCATGAAAATAAATAAGCCATACTGAACCAGATGGATTAAGGTCTTCTGGTTTGTGATATGTGGTGGTTACCAATGTTTCTGCTGGAGATTGAGAAGGTATTTTCCACTGAGAATTTGGTAATTGCCTATAAGACTATATGGCATCACAACTGAATGTTGTGGTAGAGTGGTCAACACCACTCCTTATCTGGGAGGTCCCGGATTCAAATCTCAGCCTGGAGACCGGCTTTCCTGACCAGGGTTTTTCATGATTTTTCCTCAGTCCCTCCAAGAAAATGCTGGGATAATACCTTATAGTAGGCCATGACCACTTCCTTTCCAGTTCACTGTCATCCTTTCATTTGATGCTATATAGTATGAGCTGCTGAAAAAGTGTTGTTAAACTGCATATACACAAATACATGGCATCACAACTCAAAAGACTGCAGTTGACATTTTTACCACCATTAAAGACTCACTTCTTACCTAGTGAACCAAGTTAGTCAGTTTGAGTATAAGTAGGATTTGAGATTTGCACAGTGGTGAGTCCGAGGATGGCTGTCTTCTGGATTATATTGCCATGTAGTCTGGTAGACGTTTACCAATATTTCAGAGGTTCTTGCTGCTGCCATCATCACCCTGATCATGGAGGCAGCAAGGACCTATAAAAACATTTGTTTACTTCTACCAGACAGCATGGCATTACAACCCAGAAGACAGCCATTGTAGTATGAGTATAAGCTTTTGTCACACAGTTATCTGGAACTATTAATTTTGAATTTGTGAACATAATGATTGTGAAAACTTGTATGATGTGATGACTGAATATGATAAAATGTATTGTACAAAGTATAGGAAAGGAATGTACCTTTCATCTTGCAGATAGTAAAAGACCTTGTAAATGGAAGGGTTAATTGTGGATGTATATTTCACTATGTGCAGGTTTTGCTTATATTACTTTGTAAAGTACTGTTGTGTGTAAGCTTGTCTGTAATGAAATTGTGACATGTTGTGCTATAGGCTTTAGACTACTGTCACAGCATGGGCATCATGCATCGTGATGTGAAACCTCATAACGTCATGATTGACCATGAAAACCGAAAGCTTCGTCTCATTGACTGGGGTTTAGCAGAGTTCTATCATCCGGGACAGGAATACAACGTGCGTGTTGCTTCGCGATATTTCAAGGGCCCAGAACTCCTAGTAGATTACCAGGTATGGATGTAGAGTTACTCACATGGCATTATTACTGTACATTTGTTTTATGATGGAGAAGCATCATATTTTCTTGTAATGTGTTAATTTTCGTTAATTTGTCCTTGTATGTACAGTTTGTGGGTATGGCACAGTACTTCTGTGTGTTGTTGCAAACACATGCATCAAGAGAAAGTTGTGTGATCTGGAGGCTTTTAATTAAGTAAACAGGTGTGTCTGACATTTGTTTGATTTCAAAATTGAGACACGTTGGGAATTATTGTTTTTAGATGTATGACTACTCATTGGATATGTGGTCTCTTGGCTGTATGCTAGCCAGCATGATCTTCAGGAAAGAGCCTTTCTTCCATGGCCATGATAACTATGACCAGTTGGTGCGCATTGCCAAAGTGCTTGGAACAGAAGAATTGTTTGAATATTTAGAAAAATACCACATAGAGCTTGATCCTAGGTTTCATGACATTCTTGGCAGGTAAGTAGTATTTTATCAATATGTCAACAAATAAGTGGCATTTCACCATTAACCCTTTTCTAGTGAAAAAATTTCCTTACCTGTCACATCCCACAATTTTCTTTGTGTAAGATTTCTCTTGCTGTGGGTATGTAGCGTTTGTGGCCAGTTTCATATCCCTTCATCTGTACATTTGATTCTACAAAAACGCTTTATACTTGCAAAACGCAAGTCTTCTTAATGATATGGAATAGGTTTTTTGTTTTGTTTTTTTATATCAAGGTTTATGTGTCTGTTGAGGGGGATGGGGATTGTCAGTCTCCATCTTCAAGGCAAAGGAATTGACAGTCAACCATGTCTTCATATTTATGGTATGGACAGTGTTATTGAATAACATTTGTGTGTTCTGGTTTGTGAACCTGGAGAGTATTTTCCACCCTTCCTATAAAGATGGACACTAGATCAGTTAGCACTTCACCTTGAAGATGGATGTTGCTAGTAACAACATAACTTTTTGGATCAATTTTAATGAAACTTGGTTGAAACATCATGCCATTTGAAACCACTTTTGGACTTTCTGGTTTCCTGTCATCAGTAGTACTGATATGGCAACCTTACAAACTTCAATATTTGGAAACATGAAACTTTTGTTATTTTAGTTATGTAAAACAACATGGGAGCTGTGGCAAATTCATGTTTAACTTCTATTTTATAAGTATCATTTTGTATCAAAATAGATCATAAACATACCTATGGATTTTGCATGAAACATTTATCACAATTAGTAATGTGATGACTGCATGAAACATGGAGTTATACTTGACAGGTTTAATTTAACAGGAATCTTGTATTAGTGGAGATTACATAAATGCTGGTCGGTGATTTCTAATTCCCACTGTTTTCACTGTATAGATCGAAGCAATTGAAAGAAAAACATTATAAGTTCTTCTAAGAACTTCTTTACAGTTATACAAAGCTAGCATTTTCTTGTTATGCAGACATTCAAAGAAACGATGGGAAAGATTTGTGCACAGTGAAAATCAGCACTTAGTATCTCCAGAAGCATTGGATTTCCTCGACAAGTTGTTACGGTATGACCACTATGAACGGCTCACAGCAAGGGAAGCCATGGAACATCCTTACTTCTGTAAGTTCATCTTACTTTGTACTAAAAGCTTTGTGTTATACTCACTGAGGGAATTTCTTGTAGATGTCTTCTGTGAAATCTCTCACTGTTGGTTTAGGATATGATAAAACTTACAAATTATGGAAGCCAGATGAAAATTAATAAATGATCACTTGTAAGATCGTGCATACCAGTGAACACTAACACTGGCAAAGTAGGATGATGTGGGCTGGCCTCTCAGTTGACATGATTCATTTCAAGTCTTTGCCGTTAAGCGGAGTAAAATGGAAATTAGGTTTGGCAAAACTTGCTTTTGGTTTGAATTTCCACAGTAATTTCCATTATTGAGGATTTACATAATTAGGAACTTTGGTACATATGTTTTATGAAGTGTTTTTAGTTTGGGAAATTGAATGTTAATTATGTGATTGATAATACATAGATGAATGGTTTTGAGAATACTCTGTTATGATCCTTTAAAGAAATAATATATTATTGTATGGAAAGAAAATCCTCTAAAGATTGGTTTTTTCTAATACCCATTTCCATGGATAGTCTTTTATATCCATTTCAAGCCATTGAATCAAATTTGTTTGTATTTTCGTTTTTCATTTCTGACTTAACATTTACTCATCTTGTATTTGTGTAAATGGTTTCTTACCTATAAACAGACATTAGAGCACACATGGTTGGATAAGGTCATTAATTTAATCCTTTGGTGATAAAATTAATAAATTGTTTGGGTATTTTGACAGATCCAATAGTGAAAGATCAAGGACGTATGAACATGGTCTCCTCTTCTCCTACTCCCATAGCAGGCTCTGGGCCTGTAGGTGAGTAGCATGACAGGTAATGGAACCCATTCTCACATTTTATGTTGCTGTTGTGTTCTTGTTAGTAGAGAAATGCATTATTTGATAAATAAGTTGCTTAATTGGTACGTAACAAAATTTGTGATTAGGGCTGCAGGATATATTCAAAATGTTGAGCTTCGCCACAAATGTATGATAAATTGTAACAGTATGATGCTGTATAGTCTTGCTATATTATATTTCCATGTTCGGCAATGCCCAATGGATGTTCCGATGTTAGTGAGAGTAGTAACTCTACACAGTTTATAGTCAAACCTGATTTGACTGCCATCTAGCAGTGAATCAGGAGACTTGGGTGAGAAATGGCTGCTGAAATTTTGCTGATGAAACATCTCGTATCATGCTCGTAAGGTTCTTTTACATGCCGTAAATCTATGACATGGGACCGCCGGCTTTACTTCCCCTCCGAAGGAAGTTGTGCTACAGATTTTTATTGCCCTTTAAAATCTATTGGCCTCGGCCAGGTTTGAACCCACGAACCTTGGGTCCATTGGCGAAAATGCTAACCATTAGTCCACCGAGGGCGACTATAGTCTTGTTGATGGTTAGTTACAAGACTATATCATAAACCAGAACAGTAGTCCACTTTTTCACCACCATGTAAACCTGAAATCACTTCACTTACTTTATTGGTAAGGTAAAGTACATGGTGGATTCCCACCTTGGAGTTCCTAGGCAGTGCTTCCCTACTGCACATGATGTTGCACTCATTTGTCCAGTATCATTATCTGTTATGTGCAGAGATGGAAGGGGTTTAAAGTAAAAAAATTAAAATGTGAAATATATACACAACACTGAATTTTGAATTTGATTGTGGCTAGAAGGCCACAATTAAATCACATAAACACAAAGATGTTGTGATTTGACCAACATGAATAGCTTAACTGGTCTAACATGTCACTAAATTCAGGGTTTTATTTTTCACCATTTATTGTTTCTTATTATTTGTGTTCAAATTAATGGGAGTATCCATAATTTTTCATGTGAGTATATTGCTATCTGATCATCTGCTGTTTCAGTGTAAATTTTCTCTTGATGAAAATCTTGATGTCTTGTTAATGCGAGAAAAACTGAATGTAAATTTTAAATATATTGCCCTGAATGTAAATATTTAATTATTATGTATTTATGATATAAGTATATTTTGAAGAGGTTTGTGTGTGTGTAGGAAGACTGTTGATTCTATTCTAACTTCCAGTAGTTTTTAGATCCATGTACTACAGGTATAATGAGTACTGCCCTCTACATTGGTTACAGTTTCAGTTGTGTTCTGATTTGTACTATTCAGAAGAGAATTGGCCAGTTTAGGCATGGTATACACAATGATCAGAAAAAGAATGCTTTATGGGGATGTCATGTCTATCCCTCTGTATGTTGTAGGTATAAAATTCCATGATGAATATCAGTGAAATGTGGTGGAGAGGCACACTATGCATTACAGACTGAGAGGCAAATTCCATTTTATTCTAAATTTGTCAGTTTGAAATCTCAAGAGCAGGCCTTTATTTGTTGCTCTATTTTATTACATCAGATTTGAAATATTTCAAATACAGATATGCATATTAATGTTTGTTTAACTTTATAAAATGTTGTTTGAGTGTAGGAGGGGTTAATAAAAGCTATACTTTTGCATCTTTCCAATCTTTGTCTTGGGCTTTCTGGCTTTGTACAGCTAATTTCATGGAGATATGTGTTTATTTAAAGAAAGATGTGACCTATGCAGAAGGTGTGCATGCAGACAGGTTTAATTATTTGTACTTTC